AACAGATATATTTTATCTTTTCGTGTTGTATGTACGTCCAGTTCGCCGCGTAACTTCAACGAGCCTACTTATTACGGGTATTTGACTCTTAAAGGGGCCCTGCAACAGTTGTTTAAGTAGCCATAAAATGGATTCACTAAAATAGCTTATTGCCTCTCGAATTTGCAGACGCAAAACGTTTTAGAATCCGACCAGTCCTGAGCGGATTTATCGCACGCTGCGATTCCATTCTCTCTTCTTCCGTCCCGATGTTTTAAGCAGAGAGAAATGATATGCGGGAAGAAGGCACGGCACGCGTGCCTCGTGACCTTGAGTATTTTTTCTCTATTTTTTTCCCTTTTGAAACGCACGTCTCTTCATTGTGATCACGCGCACACTAGCGGACACGTCATGGCCTCCCGTGGTGGCCCTAGTAACTCCGAATCACGCCATGTTCAAATCAGTCAGCCTGTGACGGAGTGATTGTTGAGTACATTCGCAACTTCGATAATTGATTGATATGTGGGGTTTAACGTCCCGAAACCATCATTTGATTATGAGAAACGCCGTAGTGGAGGACTCCGGAAATTTCGACCACCTGGGGTTCTTTACCGTGCACCCAAATCTGAGCACACGGGCCCACTATATTTCCGCCTCCATCGGAAATGCAGCCACCGCAGCCGGAATCCGATGCCGCGACCTGCGGGTCAGCAGCCGAGTACCTTAGCCACTAGACCACCGTGGCAGGGCACATTCGCAACTTCACAAAACGCTTCGTGTTCTGGCATCACTGGTCGAAAAAAACAAAGACGGCTAAATTTAACAGGGTCCAGGCGGCACTTTCACTTGGAGCTGCGCTGAAGATTCTCTATTGTGGCATCGCATCACGTTGCTTCATCGTAGGTGAAAAGGTGCTGGCCGCCGGCCACCTTATTCTCATCGGGATGAAGGATTTCACTGTAGGAATAGCAGGAACAGTTGCACAAGGAGTGAGAGAGAGAGAGAGAGTAAAATAGAGAGAGAAAAAAAAACAAAGCAATATAAGTAGAAGCAGAGAGAAAGGACGAAACTTTAATCAAGAGAGATAAAGCGATAAAGATATATATTGCCATATTACCTGTTCGTTTTGTTATCGCCTCGTTTCACTGTCAGTAATTCTCAGCGCAAACTGCGCCTGCAGTGTACGAGAAGCTTCGGGACTGCAGTAGATCATTTTGTTAAGATTACGCCCATTTCACAAATATTACAGACTATTCTGCAACCTACGTGGCCGCTAGCGATAACGCTAGAATTTTCGATGGCACGTGTATAAATGCCGACGCGTTCGCCGCTTGTCAGTTGATCGACAGCGGACGCTCTTTTCGCCGCTATCAGCGTCAGTGTATTGCTGCAATCTGTCTTTTCTTTTACGTGGCCACGAGTTCGGCTGAATAAACAATTTAGGTGGAACATTTAGTCTGCTTCCTTCGTATGCGTCACGTCCCCATGACATCTGGTGGATGTGGTTCCCGGCCTATGTACCGAACGCCCCCCTCCATCCGTGAGCCAAGCCCACAGCGTGAAGAGGACGTTGAAGGCAACATCGATCAGCAAGCTAGCCACAGGCAGTGAGGGCTACATTGAGAGTACGGGGCTCTACCCATTAACATTTGCAACCCGAAGGCCATCACCAGTACAGCGACCACTATGACAGCCCCTATGCCAACGCCCGCCACGGTCGTAATGCAGCAGGTGAGAGAGCAACCGACCTTCCAAGGATCATCACGTTAAGAAGCGGAGACCTGGCATGAGACGTATGACCAAGTGGCCGCTTTGAACCAATGGGACTTTGAAGAAAGGCTGCGTCGCGCATATTTTTATCTGGAAGACGCGGCAAGGACATGGTTCGAGAACCACAAGTCGTCACTTCAAACCTGAGAACCCTTTCGTGGCGCATTTCTCGAATCAGTCATGAGCGTCGCCCGAAAAGAAAGGGCCGCTTCTTTGCTGGAAAGACAGGCGCAGCTTTCGAACGAAAGCAACAGAATCTTTGCCGAAGAGATGATTCGTCTTGTCTGACTCACCGACCTTGACATGACCGAGGAGAAGAAGGTCCGTTTGGTCATGCGAGAGGCAAATAAAGACCTGTTCACTGGGCTAGTGGGAACCCACCCAAAACAGTTCAAGTGTATCTCAGAAGCTACAAAAATCGAGAAGACCCTGGAATGAGTACCCGCCAGTACGATCGCCGATCGATGCAAGACAGCGCAGCTGTCCACACGCCCTCGGCTCTGGCGACATACGAGAAACGATTCGACAGATCATGCGGGAGGAGCTATAGAATCTGCTGCCTTCCTCGCAGGCTTAAGCACACGCGATTGCCGACATTGTCTGCGAAGAAGTTTGGCAGTCGCTTGGAGTTTCCGATGCACCGCATGCAGCCTAGCCGCAAGTGATGAGCTACGCTGCTGCAGCCCGACGCTACGTCCCCCCTCCATGCCTACATGAAGACGCCACTCCGCCGAATTTCCGTCGCCAGACGCCGCATCCGGACAGCTGGAGGTCATTTAGTACCTGTCAAAATCTGCTCAGCGAGAGTCTCCATTAAGAACCAGATTTATGCCGCCGGCTTTGAGGACCTACAACGTTGCTACAGAGACAAGATTGTTTGTATGGAAGTATTAGGCCTCACAGTGCAGTCACCAACCTCATATCAAAGTCAATGACGCTATCTACAGAAAAAGCAATGCCTGCGCACGCCACCAGGAAAGCACGCCTCAAGTGTGCTGGAAGGACAAGTCACCATTCCCCTCGCCTTGGCGTCAGCATTTCCGTCGGTACACAGATATCAACAAATATGCAAGGCGTCATTGAAGGCGACCAGTACCTATTGATCAACAGCGAGATTTGTTTCGCCAGAGGAATAGCCAAGCTGTAAGAAGGGAAAGCTATAGTGACGCTTTCGAACTTCAGCAATGAATTCAAGAACGTGAGCAAAGGCACCACGGTTCCTACATCGAAGAGATGGTGAAAGCCAGCAATGCTTTCACCCTCGTCGAGTATACTGAAGCTGCTACGACGACCCAAGCTTGCCAACTAGCTTTTGACGTTAACGCAAGCCTTCCGACGCACAAACAAGAACAGCTCAGAAGTCTGCTCCGATAATACAAGGAGTGTTTTTTATAGTCGCCGAAAATTCGACAAACCCCAGTCCCAAAACATCGCATCCTAACAGAAGAGAGTTCCAGGCCACTCCGAAAAGCTCGTACAGAGTGCCGACGCGAGAACGCGACGCCATAACGAAGGAAGTCGACGAAATTCTATGCGACGACATTATCCAGCCTTCAAAGAGTCCATGATCATCCCCTATCGTGTTAGTCAAGAAGAAGGACGCAACCCTACGTTTTGCATTGAATATCGCGGCCTAAACAATGTCACGAAGAAGGACGTGTATCCTCTCTCCCGGAGAAACGATACCCTGGATCGACTTCACAATGCGAGGTACTTTTCTTCGATGGTCCTCAAGATCGGCTATTAGCAGATTCAAGTCGATGAGAGGGAGTGAGAAAAAAAAACTGCCTTCAATACATCGGGCGGCTTGTTTCAGTTAAATGTCACGCCCTTTGGTCTTTGCTCGGCACCCGCGACTTTCCAACGCGTCATGGATTCAGTACTGGCCGGCTTGAAGTGGCATACTTGTCTTGTATGCCTGGACGACGTCATGGTGTTTTCCTCAAACTTAGACGCACACTTCAGGCGCCTTGAAGCTGTACTGCAAACAATCAAGAACTCCGGACTCACCATGGTGCCAGAAAAGTGCCGCTTTGCATGTGAAAAGCTCTTGTTCCTGGGCCACGTCATCAGCACATCTGGCGTTCACTCCGACCCACGGAAAACTGCTTCTATCGCCTTCTTCCCAACCCCAGAATCGTTCATTATAGGCAGTGGTGACCCTTACTTTTAAAAGCTGTGACATTAAAGAGCACCCATTCGCGATAATTTATGTAAAAGGTATGCAGACACACGCCGCGCTGCTGTGCAGAAAGACCCCACTGGCAGAACCTTCTTGCCAACCTGCACCAGCTCCGAGGGAGGGTATGGTGGGCGGAGTGGTCGCAGTGACTGTTTGCAAACAATCAGAGGTCTATTGTACGAGGTAGAAAAGGAAAACTTAAACGCATCGATTATCGTGTCATAAGGTAAAATAGCATACGAATGATTGGTACGTCTTGACACTTGGGCGGGAAGGCGGGTGCGGGTTACAAGTACAAAGATGCATTTATGTTCAGCGTTTTGTTACACACTTGGTTCAGAAACTTCAGGCGTGCAATCAGTCTGCACCTCGACAGGACAGCTTCTGATGGTTAGCCATGTGAAGCAACACAGTCACTGATTGCGTCCTCTGGTTGCACGAATAAACAAAAATGACTTCCATTCCCTGAATCCGTCGTAGCTCACCAAGACGCTTTTGATTGGACTGGTTCCAGGTAAAACGCGTAAATTTGGCTTGGGCGTGCTACTGGTTAATATGCCATGAGCTCTGTTTCAGGAAGAGCATCTCTTACCTTTGGCCACAGGAGGCCCAGCTTACGTGCAGCTGAACGACGAATGTTTTCGATATGCTTGTTCTAGGTTAGATTTTATTATTTATTGACAGTATCTTAAAGAGCGCTCGAAAGACATTGTTTGAGGGGGCGGTGCACAATATACGTGAGAGATGTACACACATGGGTAAATATTGATTACTAGAGAAAATACAATTGAACTCATGAACATATATCAGGACAATACATACTAGAAAAGTAAGTTAGAATATGTGATGGTGTATACTACAGAAGATAATAGGTAAAAAAGACACGTGAACACAAATAGCAAGTAATTGCTTAGTGATTAAATTCGAAGTAAAGCTTATCACCGATGCCTTTCCCAATGAAACGACAGTGCTTCATTCAACCTATGGGAGTTCTTGATTACAGCGATTCGATACCCACTACATTAATTGCTTTACCTGTTACGCATTATGATCTCATTTTCTCTTGCAGCTATGCGGCTCTGGACTTTCATTGGTGTTGCCTTGGCAACTGCCTCACTGGTGGGCTCGCAAGGACCACCTGGGGACCAGATACTTTTTCTTCCGGGTCTGTCTGAGCAACCATCTTTCAAGCAGTACTCGGGATTCCTGAACGCAGGAGCGACGCGAAAGATGTTCTACTGGTACGATGTTAAACAGTAAATAACGCACACACTCGTACGAAGGAGAAATGTGGGGACCTTAAATTCGATCAATTCACAGTGAAGGCGCACCGTAGCTATTTTGTATTAGTCAACATAAAATATTTTAACCATTCCTTTATACCACTGAAATATTGTGAATATTTCCGTTCCTTCTCAACTACGCATGAAAATTATAGGCTGAGTGTTTAGAAAAATCTATGGCTTAAACAGGGATGCATAGCAAAAAAGTATTTAACGACTAAGAGTAATTAGATGGTGAAGGCATACTTGAGCAACCAGACATCGTCTGGTCCTACTCCAGACTTACGAAGGTGGATAAAGGGACCTTTCCACCGATCTTTGTTAAACTTTATGCATGAGTGTAGTTTGTTTATGTGTGGTGAGCCTCTGTTGTTCTGACATATCTTTGTTGAGCGAGACGGCCGTCTTTCGTATGAAAAAAAAAAGGGTATTTGGTACTCTGCTATGGGAGAGCAGAAAACGTCCCAGTTATGTTGAACCTGTGTGTCAGGAGAGAGTGTTTAATGATTACTATGCTGAAAAAAAGCTGTGTTTTAAAATTTTCTGATTACCTAAGATACTATCAGTAAAGCATCTTTGTGTGTACAAAAAGTGTTGAACGATTCAGCCTACTTCGTTCTCTACTATGCGGCAGCTGAAAGCCGTCCACTGAGCCTCACACTTAATAAAGCCGTGTAGAATATGTGTTTAGAAAAAGTTTATTCTAGTGTGGGACGCAACAAACCTATGAAACGAGCGTCTATACAACAAGCACAATAACATACAAATGACAAAGAACAACATACATGACACATTTAAACAAAGGTGCCCAAGGCCGTAGGGTGTCCCTAACCCATGTTACTAATGACTGCATTATGTTACACTGCATGACTGTTAGACTGCATTTATACACTACTCGCAAAATGTGTTTAGAAAAAAATGTTGTGTTTAGAAAAAAATTGTTAACGATTTAGAGTACTTGCTACTCTATTATGGGAGAGCGTAAAGCCGCCCCGTGGCCTCCTAAAAGAAATGTTTAGCGATGGACAGTGAAAACTGCAAATGTTGGCAAGAAGCGCTAACCACGATGACGGCGGCGGCCGTCATTTAGAATGGATCATTGCAAACTGCAGGGTAGCACCAGTGAATGTTCTAAACGTGCGCTGAGCTGATTACAGTATTCAGGTCATAGCGCGCTCACTAGTAATGTACACTCCTTCATTTTGAACAGAGCAATGAACCTCTATATTCTGCTGGTGAAGAACAATAAGTAGAGCAGCTTCACGCTGCTGGTGCGAGGCCTGAAATAATCGCGGAGCGGGAAAGCTTTCTTCGTCCGTCAGATTTCTTCGTATTTCGTATTTGTTGTTTATTCTTGTTCTCCTTGTTTCTCGTTGTTTCTTTTATTTCCTCTATTTCCTTGTTATTCTCTTTTCCAGTTCTTTTCTGTGCTTCTTCTTTACATCTATTCGTCTTCCTAGTTGTTCATTGTCATTCAATTTCGTTCTATATCTCAAATCTTTCATCTTTCTAAATTTTCACACGTGGCCTTGCCTTCGCCACGCCAGCATACCACAGTATACGACACCCCGGGCTCCTCCAGATGATATCATCTCTGTGGAGGCCCAGGTCCTACAGTCACATCCACATGCCATCATTGTCAAGGCGCTCGAAGAACAAGAGGCGGAAGAGTGTTCTTTGGCTCTGGCGCTATGCTACGGCCTTGGTATTTATGCTATGCTACGTTATGGCCTAGAATGGGAACAGTTAGGGATAAGGGTTAATGGAGAGTAGCTTAGTAATCTGCGCTTCGCCGATGACATTGCATTGCTGAGTATCTCAGGGCACGAATTGCAACTGATGATTACGAAGTTAGACAAGGAGAGCAGAAAGGTGGATCTTGAAATAATCTGCAGAAAACGAAAGTAATGTACAACAACCTCGGAAGAGAGCAGCGCTTTGAGATAGGTAATAGTGCACTTCAAGTTGTAAAAGACTATGTCTACTTAGGGCAGGTAGTAACCACGGAGGCAAACCACGAGATTGAAGTAGCTAGAAAATAAGAATGGGGTGGAGCCCATTTGGCAAGCACTCTCAAATTATTACGGGTAGATTACCACTATTCCTCAAAAGGAAGGTATATAACAGCTTCACCTTGGCGGTATTTAGCTATGGAGCAGAAACCTGGTGACTTACAAAGAGGGTTCCGTTTAAATTGAGAACGACACAGCGAGCAATAGAAAGAAAATTGGTAGGTGTACCTTAACAGACATGAATAGAGCAGAGTGGATTAGGGAACAAACAGGGGTTAAAGATATCATAGGTGAAATCAAGAAGAAGAAATGGACATGGGCCAGGCATGTAGCGCGTACACAGGATAACCACTGGTCATTAAGGGTAACTAATAGGATTCCCAGAGAAGGCAAGATGGTTAGGGGAGACAGAAGGTTAGGTGGGCAGATGAGAATTAAGAAGTTTGTAGGTATAAATTGGCAGCAGCAAGCACAGGACCGAGTTAACTGGCGGAACATGGGAGATGCCTTTGTCCTGCAGTGGGACGTAGTCAGGCTGATGATGATGATGATGATGATGATGATGACGACGACGTTATGTTTAGTGATGCCGATAGCGTAGAGTCAGAGCATACTACATCCAGGTCCCCTAATTTTTGCGAGCTTAAAATGTCTTGCTCTAAATGGAAATGTAGTTTCAGACATAGATAGTAGAACTTGTCAATTGTGATCTTAGGTAGCGCAAACAGGCACAGCATACTGAGTTGGCATGAGGCTCGAGCACCGATTCCAGCATATAGGTAACGTTTTATCACCATAGAGACGCCCGAATATTTTGTAGATGAGAAGAATATCCCTAGATTCACTTTTCAGTGTAAATATTCAGGTTAATTCAGATTTAAAGAAGACTAAAATGGTTTGACCTGTGACTAATTTCTTCACTTTATTTGCGGTAAATGCCAAGACATTAACAGCTACTGAAGGCCTTTTTTTTCTCATTTAGGTACATATTGCGTGAATGCATGGTTGAGATTGCACGGCAGAGTTGATTGAGAGTGTGTGACACCTTTTGTGCACGCGCATGCAGCTTGTGATGTAGGGGTGAACGATGCAGCTTTGAAAGCCCTTCTCGTATGAATAAATGATGAGTAGTGTATCTGCTCGATGCATATTCATGTTCATGCAAGTTAGCCCTTCATCAGACTATTGCTTTTCTTCAACTGCACTGTCCAACCGCTATTTCGCCTGGAATCATATGCAACGTGTACGATATAGATTTGAAGCACAAAACGGAATCGAAGAACGTGTAATGTGCTGAACAGAATGGAATAATTGAAATAGACTTTTTTGATTAAGTTATCGGAGGAAGCAGGTAACGGAACCATATCGGCCTTTCTTCTGTGCACACCGAAAAAGAATGTTCGGGGAAAACGAGGTTCTTCGAGTAGCAAGCAGTCAACACGAATACTGGCAACATTACGTCATCATAGGCCATAATTACGACGCCGACGTCAACGAAGGACGTAATGGGACGGCACAATGATAGCACACACACATTCGCTCTGGTATAGCGCGACTTTTTGGGCACTTTTATTACTCAGTGTGTTTCTTATCATCAGCAAAGTCCCACGAAATATCGCTTGGTCTCCCGAAATCTCTAGAATTTCCGGGACCTATGAAAATTCAAGCATTGCTACAACAACTTTAAGGTTCGTAGCGAGCCAAGAAACACCCGAGAAGGACCCCTTGCTGTTGTGGCTGGACGCGGGGCCCGGATGCAGCTCCATGGTGACCATGTTCAAAGAACACGGACCGTTCCGTGTCGCCGACAACGGAAAGAGCCTCGTCGAGAACGCTTACAGCTGGAACAAGGTCAGACATGTTAGCACTGTAACCCTGCACAGAGCTATTCTGCACAGATCTGGGTAGGAGTGTGGCCTCTGTTTCTGATTAACTATTCGTACGGAATGGAGAGTGTAGGTAGAGGGCGAGACGGAGCTTCTTTAGAAAAGAGTATTCACGATTTGCATAACTATTGCTAATTAGAAGTACCGTCAAGTGGAAGGACTGCAAGAAAAAACCGAAAATTTGCACAAAAAATTAAATGAACTTTCTTCATGAACGATTGGGTCGGCTGAGTAGATATAAATCTCGCAAGAGTGTCCCGAGAGTACAATCGAATTAAAATTAAATAATACAGAACGGACTTGTATCTTTATTTGCGTATTAGGAGCTTTTGCCTTGAGAATTAACATAAGGAAATGAAATATGGCTTGAAGAAGAATACGTAGACTTAATTGAGTGTGGAAACCTCCGTCATAGGAAAAGAAAATTGTAATGTGTGAGCGTCGGAATACTCTACAATATTGAGAACACGTATGCCTTTCGCAAGGCACCGAAACTTTGTGGACCACGTGATACTTGTGGAAAAGAATATTTTAAAAAAATTACAATCTGGCAGTTCCCTTTATTCAAGTTTAGAGCTTTCGTCAACCGAAAAAAATGCTTAGAAAACAAAACCATGTCATCCTGCCACAGGACTTACCTGAACTCTCCTTTCAAGAATTATAGCTACCATCACTTACGCCTAGAGCGAAAATACAAAGGGTAGTCTCAAAGAACCGCTAGAGTAGTATTGGCTCAATTATTATCAGTTAAACACAGAGTGCGCAAATAATATTATTAAGTGGTGTTTTACGTCTCAAAACTATGATACGATTATTAGAGACACCACATTGAAGGGTTCCTGAAATTTCGACCATCAGATGTTTCGAGCATCCGTGCACTGACATCCCACACTACACGGGCCTCTATCAATTCGCCTCTATTGAAATGCGACTGCCGCAGGGGGAATCCAACCCACTACCATCGGGTCAGAAGCCAGGCACTCTATAGACACGGATTCATGACAATTAGTACTATAGAAAATTTCAAAGAAGGTCATTAGGCTATACAGACGAAGGTTGACAAAATTTTACCAAAACAGGAAGGCCAATAACTAGATGCCACAGAAGAAGCACTTTTCAGTGGTTTTAGTTTTTTGATGTGCTTGTCTTAGTCGAGCTGTTTGAACCTACGTTCAGGATACCAATCAGCTTGTTTTTGTCAACTAGCTACTGTGTAGTTATTCAAGCAAAAAGAAACTTTTATGACGTTCTTTTTTCACATTGGCATACCTTACAAACATTTGTACACAACACGGAATGACTGATAACTTATTAATAAAGAATACATTACAACAAGATTGTTTACATAATACGTAGAGGTGTCTAAGTGAAGCGTATCAATGAAAAACATAAACAAAACAAAATGCCAATGTTTACAGCTTGCCAATGTGCTCTACTTGGAGGCACCCGCATCTGTCGGCTTTTCCTACGACCTCGCGGGTAACTACACCAGCAACGACGACTCGACGGTAGACGACATACAAAGTGCTCTGACGGACTTCTTCAACAAGTTCAGTAGCTTAAAGGAGAATGATTTCTACCTCTCCGGCAAGGGAAGCGCCGCCACCTATGTCACCATCTTGGCATCTCGACTCCTGGAAGATCCTAAAGGAATCAAGCTGAAGGTAATCACGATAATTTTTGTTAATGGATTCTCATTCTAATATTAGACGTAACTTTTGGAGTTTACTTTTATGCTCTGACAGAAAAAAAAATTGAAACAGTTCACGTCGAGATGTATATTACATCGATGCTAAGCGCATTGAAACAATGGAGCCACCCACTCTACAACAATAATGATAGAACTTCATGACGTCATTTTGACGATATTATTAGTTTGCTGATTGTGATTTTATTGGATCGGTGCCATCCCGAAGTAAGGTATAAGCGATTTTACATAAGACAAATGAGTTCCTCCTCCTTGGGCTGTGAAGACAATGTTTTCTCATACTTGTTATCATCTTCAAGAGAGTTGATAAAGCCATGAAACGTCAAATCTATGAAACCAATCATTTTTACGTGTATATGCCCACAGTATTCTTGGGCGGTTAGTTGTTGAAGAAAAAAAAATAGCAAGTTTAACAGCCTGATATTGTGACGCTGAAAGACATGCGTACAAGTCATAAAAGCCATGTACGGGATGGGGAATCGAGAAGCAGGACGCCTATTTAAGCATTCTAATATCGTGGAGCACTCTTTAATTATGAAACTCAGCAATTTTCCTGTCTTACAATTTCACGCTTTGTAGGGGTTGGTTGTATTACCTTTACTGAATTTTGTACTGTCGTCGTAACCTGACTCCTTGAGTTTTCTTACCTTAGTTAGTATGCTTGTAAATGTTCACCTGTTTTATCGTTTCTTTGTGATGATACGAAATGTTCACCTTCGACATTTTGCGAGGTGCCTATACTTCACAGGGCGACCTAAAACGTGTGAAAGTTCCTGTGCGTACACCACTACCTACGTTCTTATGCCATTAAGTAGCCGGTAGTCAGATAAACTAACACATACACTCGGTTTCCGTTTACCAGGGATATGCTATTGGAAACGGTGCATTAGACTTTCCCTCTAACGGGAACTCTCTGCTCCTCTTCGGACAGTATCACGGGATACTCGACCCAGTGTGAGTAGCCAGCTTCGGGAAACTGGCATGTTCCTTTCTTGTAAACATTTCCAGTGTGAAAGTGGCACTGCGTGTGCATATTCAATGTGTGAATTTTTCGCAATATCCTAATTCTTTTACGGGTATAAACAGTCGGTAACTGATATATGTAAGTTGTTTCATTTTCTTGCCCTGTCTTGCAGGTATGCTTGTAAAGCATTTTTCTTCCTTATTCTGCCTATACTTGTAACACATTTTTTTCTTATGCTTGTAACACTTTTTTCATCCTTATTCTACCGCGAAGGTCATTTTTACTTTTAAGTCACATCAATTACTCCCTTTAGAACACTTTGAGCTTTATAAATACGCTCATTCAGAGTCATGCGTTTCACGCATGCGTGCACCTCACGAACGAGCTATCCTAGGACCTGTAGCATTTTAAATAAATACAATCATCATTAGATTTTTGTCGCAAAAACACAATATGATTTTGAGCCATGCTGTAGTGAAGGAATTTGAAAATTTCATATAAGCTGGTGTTAGCGAAACGAGCAGCAGAATATAAATGGACGTGCCACTAGTGTTTCGCCGTCATTGAAATGAGACCACTGTGGCTGTCGGACGTGAGAGGTACTGACAATGGCGTGGTTGTGCCAGCGAAGATGAACTTGAGATTGGCTTACATGCAATGTCAAGAAGCCTTCACATTCACAAAACAGCACATGGCAGGAAGCCAGACATTGAACCACACGTTTCGCGTGTTTCTCACGGTACCAAAATGTGACCAGGCGCCAATGTCTCTCTTTGATGTTCTCCAACAAACCGCAATTTTCTCAAGCACAAATCTCTTCAATATACTTCTTTTGTTTCTTTATGTCCGCAGTATTAACAGTAACAGCCGGAGTGCACCTAAATGTACAGCATCGCCCCGGGGACATCGAGCTACGCAAGATGTGGATAGAACGACAGTCTGTAGTTATATCCCCATCGCATGTCCATTGCTGCTGGTTCCCGTTGTAGCAACAGTAAAACGCTTGCTTACGCACTAAGTCTAGGCCAGCTGCGCAAGTAGGAAAGCTGCTCTGGGTAGCGGGCCAGTGCAACTCGTAGAAAATTGTTTGGCAGCACAGGAGGACAGGTGAGGCTAATCCCTTCCCCCTGATGTACAAATCTAAACACCTAAGCGTAGACGCCTTGAAGAGTTGTTGCAGTACCTCACGATGGTGCGTACAGTGTTGAATCAGTTTAGGAAAAAGATAGAGGAGAGAGAAAACCACGTTTCTTTAACAGCAGGGCCACACCGTGAGCAGTACGGTCGATGTTCACCATGTGTCGTAGAAAGGAAATGCTGTGTGTGAGTGCATTTGTACGTGCGAGTGTATGTGAGTATGTTACGGCCCAGCAGGTGGAGTAGAATGTACTACGAATAGCCAGGCTAACATATCCAGCATTTAATTTGGTCATTGCCTTCTCTCTCTTTCTCTCTCTGTCATGTCTCTGCAAGCGTAAATCACTACTTTACTTACGTATATTTGCTTCCGGAGGGATAATATTCCAAGTTATGGAACTCGTAATTAACGTAGTTTTTGCACACCTCTCATTGTACAACAGGACGTGGAACCAGCTGCTGTCATCGTGTTGCAATGGAAGTGCATCCGAAGAGACTTGCAGCTTCGTTGAGCCGCCTTTCATATCAGTGGAATGTGAGACTGCAGTACGTACATATAATGCTATAACCAGGCAGTAGATAATATGTAAGTTGTTTCATTTTCTTGCCCTTTTTGCAGGTATGTTGTAAAGCATTTTTCTTCCTTATTCTGCCTATAATTGTAACACATTTTTTTCTTATGCTTGCAACACTTTTTTCATCCTTATTCTACCGCGAATGACATTTTTATTTTAAGGCACATCAATTACTCCCTTTAGAACACTTTGAGCTTTATAAATACGCTCATTCAGAGTCATGCGTTTCACGCATGCGCGCACCTCACGAACGAGCTATCCTAGGACCTGTAGCGTTTTAAATAAATATAATCATCATTTGATTTTTGTCACAAAAACTCTATATGATTATGAGCCATGCTGTAAGGAAGGAATCTGAAAATTTCAGATCAGCTGGTGTTATCGAAACCAGCAGCAGAATATAAATGGCCGTGCCACTAGTGTTTCGCCGTCATTGAAATGAGACCACTGTGGCTGTCGCACGTGAGAGGTATTGACAATGGCGTGGTTCTGCCAGCGAAGATGAATCTCAAACTTGAGATTGGCTTACATGCAATGTCAAGAAGCCTTCACATTCACAAAACAGCGCATGGCAGGAAGCCAGACGTTGAACCACACGTCTCGCGTGTTTCTCACGGTACCAAAATGTGACCGGGCGCCCATGTCTCTCTCTTATGTTCTCCAACAAACCGCCATTTTCTCAAGCACAAATCTCTTCAGTATACTTCTTTTGCTTCTTTATGTCCACGTTATTAACAGTAACAGCCGGAGTGCACCTAAATGTACAGCATCGGGCCGGGGACTTCGAGCTATGCAAGATGTGAATAGAACGACAGTCTGTAATTATATCCCCATCGCATGTCCATTGCTGCTGGTTCCCGTTGTAGCAACAGTAAAACGCTTGCTTACGCACTAAGTCCAGGCCAGCTGCGCAAGCAGGAAAGCTGCTTTAGGTAGTGGGCCAGTGCAACTCGTAGAAAATTGTTTGGCAGCATAGGAGGACAGGTGGGACTAATCCCTTAACACTGATGTACAAATATATACTTCTAAGCGTAGACGCCTTGAAGAGTTGTTGCAGTACCTCACGATGGTGCGTACAGTGTTGAATCAGTTTAGGAAAAGGATAGATGAGAGAGAAAACCGCGTTTCTTTAACAGCAGGGCTACCCCGTGAGCAGGGCTTACGGTTGAGGTTCACCGTGTGTCATAGACAGGAAATGCTGTGTGTGAGTGCATTTGTAGGTGCGAGTGTATATGAGTATGTCACGGCCCAGCAGGTGGAGTAGAATGTACTGCGAATAGCCAGGCTAACACATCCAGCATTTCAATTGGTCATTTCCTTCTCCCTCTCTCTGTGTCATGATAAGTTCTGGAAGCGTAAATCACTACCTTACTTACGTATCTTTCCTTCATGAGAGATAATATTCCAAATTGTGTAACTCGTAAACAGCGTAGTGTTTGCACACCTCTCATTTGTACAACAGGACGTGGAACCAGCTGCTGTCATCGTGTTGCAATGGAAGCGCATCCGAGGAGACGTGCAGCTTCGTCGAGCCGCCTTTCATATCAGTGGAATGTGAGACTGCAGTAAGTACGTGTAAAAGCTTGAACCAGTATACACACATCCTTCCACTAATATGCCGAGAGCGGAAAACGCCAAAACATGCGTGCGCATGTGATTTATTTAGCGTACGTAGTGTACCAAATATAGGGCAATTCAGAACGGCTTGATGAGGAGAAAGAAAAAAGTGAAAATCTAAGGGATCGTCATTCTTATCAAGAGATAACATGAATGAGAACAGACATTGATCACAAGGAAAATATAGGGGAGGTTATTTGCAGTTGTAATGTAAATGCGAACAAATAAAAGCGGACGAGAAGTTACGTTGTCGTTAACAGGGGCCTAACCTGCGGCCATCAAATAATGCGTCCAAATTTGATAAGTAATTGACAACATACCACTAGAAGGCATCAAGGCCGAAAAAATGAGACTTGCTCCACGAATTAAGGATGAAAGGAAGGAGAATTAAGGGCTCGTTGTTTTATTTTGTTGTTGTTTTTGAGAACTGCACAATGAGAACTAACACAAATTCAGTTCAAGGAATGCGGAATGTTAGTAGTAATTGGGATGTAAATGTAAAAAAAAAGTTGTCGTCAAACTAAATTTCCTCTCATTCACATAAAGATACTACTAACAACACCCACTGTAATTCCATTTCCATAATTTTTTCTTAGCTCTCATTATTATTTTTATTGAAAGAAAGTGGTTTCACACCAGCTTTCAAAGCTATAGCGCAATTTTGTTACCTAGGTTTAGGTAATAATGACAATGTCGAAATGATTATTATTTTTAATATTTGATGGCGTCTTACGTCTCCAAACTGCGACATGATTACGAGTGACGTCGTGGTGGATGGCTCCGAAAATTTTGACAAACTGAGGATCATGAACGTACACCTAAATCTAAGTAGACCGGCCCTAGCATTCCGCCTCCACCAAAATGAGGCCACCACGGCCTGTATTCAAACCCGTGACCTTCTGGTCATAACCACCAGACCATCGTGGCGGGCCTTACATTTGACTTGTCACAATGAATCATTCAAAGCATTGCTTTAGGAAAAATGACCTTTCGTAAGCATATATCATCTTTACTTCATTAGTCTACCTATAAACAGAAGCGCATCCGTGTAGTTCTCTACTTGAACTATGCCTTGCTACCCAAGCATCCTCTGCTTTCTGCAGGTGGAAATTGCGGCGCACTTGATCATCGAGAGAGGCCTCAACAACAACGACCTTTATGATAAGTGTGTCGGCTTTCATCCTAACCAGGAGAGTGGGTCAAAGATGGAGCGTGGAACGCAATACGCCACATTTATTACACCACACCTCCGGGCACAGCAGTTAGTGCTGCGAAGCCTGAACATCAAAGCATGGGTGAACGATATTTTAATCTATGGGTGCGGAAATTTGGGAACGTGAGGTCACCGTGTAGAAGAAAATTATTGATACTCATTAAATTCAAATTATGTTCAGGGAAGCCTGTGGCCATTCGGCTGAATATATTGTGCTTTTTTTACTCGTTCTTAAGCACTCTTTCAGCAATCACGTGAGGGTGCGAACGGGAGGGGCCACAGCTGGCACCGTTCCAGCACACGGAAAGACTGACGGACGCGAGCATGAGCCATTAAATGCTTTCGTCTTATTATTAGTAAGCAAATCAGTGCTGTTTTACGTGTGAATTGTAATATTCAACGGTAGCAACCTATTGGAAACTCAAACTATTTTTAGCGAGAAGCTAGGCTAATTGAAGAGCGAATGATTCAGCGTTTTACTCGTCTTTGTTCTGTCAGGCGGTGCCTGGTGGCCACTTCAGCCACTTCAGCTGCGTCTAGAAAGTTGACCTCAAAGCTATGTCTGTTTAGTACGTTCTCCCGCGCTGAAGGCGAAGAACTTGACAAAGATTTGGTGGTAGGCATAAATTCAATGAGAAGAAGATACCGCATATAATCAAGTAGGGTCATGACCTCTTAATAGCCAACGGCCATAACTTTTCAGCGCCATATTGAAAGAAACAAGAGGAATTTTAAACTATACGATGTTAGAACAAAGCTTCTTCCAAAATACGGGGCTGTATTTAAAGCAAATGTTGCTGCTACGTCTAGCAGCACCAGCAACCGTGCGACTGGCGACATGGATCACAACACAAAGCATCTGCATTGACGGGCGATACAAAAAGAGCAGATTTCATTAACGCTTATATGTATTTGCAGCGGTAAGAGTATCGAAAGTTCCTTTTTGGTACAGACAGATTGCATGTATACCATGTATAGGCTAGGAACTTGTATGAAAGCCACCTGTCACTCGTGATTAGCGGCTACATTAATAGAACAAGCGCAAATTCAGCTATCACATGTGGATTTATATTAATTAATCATTTCGTTCAATAGTGTACTGACGTGTCCGAGTAGCAACCATCAATTCCTGCGGCTAAATATCAATCCGAAATGTTGGCGTTTTCGTCAGACTTCATGCCAGGAAATGAAATGTAGTAGTTAGTACAGAAGAGCTTCTAGCAGCTGATACTATGGCACGACTAGGTAAAAAGAGCATAGGTAAAAAAAACTACGTAAAAAAGCATATATCTCTTTAGCGGTACAAAAAAAAAAACTGCAAATTAATGTCACTGAAGAATGCGTATTAGGACTCAATTAGCTGGTACGGAATGATCTTACAATGGCTAGGTAACATCAACAGGTGTATCTCTGAATCAAATTGCGCTCTACGCCAAAGCAAAGCCGTCTTGTTTAATATAGGTGAAACTGCCCGGTGTGCGAGGTGATCTGTTTAAATTGACACCATATGGGACCGCAGAGTATAGTTACCCAGTGTGTTTATAGTAGAGATCATGAATCCCGATAACAAGGGGGTGGGGCGTAATTACTGCCGCACCTACGCAATCCCTCACTTGAAGGCCAAACGATTCTAGAGACCACTTCTTTCCAGTTTCTGCAGTTTTCGTCAACCATGCCGAATTTCCCACAGCTTCTGATGGTGTCTCTGCACAACGTGTCTATAAGTCACTCATATCTCGTTCTTTCTGGGTAGTGGAATCGGTTTTCACTTACGCTGCCCTAAAGCTGGGACGAATTGAGTCAACAGAGTACTCACGTGAGGATCGTTTTTGGCTGTCCTTCCAGCGCCCAAATAATCTTCGATCGAATCCACCATGCGTGACCTACGATGACGTGGCCACATATCTTAATCAGCCCCAGGTGCGCAAGGCTTTGCATAGTGTGGACTCTCCGATGCTCTGGACACCGTGCAGGTAAGGACCATGCTACTAATACGCTCCCGTGTAGTGCTTGCGCATCCAGGTGGGAGGAGGAGGGTTGTAGTTGGAGCTTTGAGTTAAGAAAAAAGTGGTTAACGATTTTGAGTACTTGGTACTTTACTATGGGAGAGCAGAAAGCCGTTCCGCTGGCCTCACACTTGGTGAGGACACGTTGACAAAAATTTTGCAAAATATTTCTTTATTGTCTATGTATTTACACACGAACGCTTGCAAGCACACGCATTATTCTCAAATGCTCAATTGCACGGATCGCACAGGCCTAGTAAAGAAGGAAAGCTGAAGTACCAGACTTCCTTTCCTTCTGTTCTTTCTTGCCTGGTCCTGTGTGAAATCTTCGTTATCCAGTGTTAACCTGGACTGTTATTCATTGTAAATCTGTGTTATTTAGTGTTAATAAGACTGTTTCCAACTAGTCCAGCAAAAAAATTTGTTGAGTATGCAATAAAATACGCATATAGTAAGTAGGCTAATCTCCGTCCCCACTCTGTCTCTGCCCCCCCCCCCCCCCCCCTAAAATTTATATTGAGGTACACAGCAGGGGCTGCGTCACTACTGTGTGCCTTAATTTATCTGTCAACAGTGAGCCCAACTCCACCACTGACTGTAAGGGTAAAGCTTTACACATGCGAGTAGATCAGGCTATTTATTCCAAACTTTTCTACATTTATGATTGTGGCATAAAAGAACGCGCACTTACTGCCCAGCTAAGCTGAAAGAGACGGGTTCGACTACCGGCCAAGTCGGTTGCATTTTGATGACAGTGAAATGCAAGAACACAAGCGTACTAATACTTAAGTTACATTATAAGGAGCCAATGCGGTCCAAATAAAGATAATACCCCAGCTGCCACGAGTTCCATAAGTATATCTAGGTTTTGTTATTACTAAAAAATAATCCTGCAGAATAATACTACTTTTAGTAAACACGCAGTGCGCTATACATAAAAGCAAACAGACGGACGAAGTTCTCGCGTGGACATTCATAAGGAGGAGTTGGTTACATCTCGGTGTCTTGTTGTGGAAAAGTGTCGATGTAGGCTGTTCACACTTGTCAACGCACGCATTTCACAATTTCAATGCGATAACGTTAGAGAGCTCGTGTCGCGGAAATTCCGTGGTCGGCGTCGACACCGCTGGTTGTGAGCGAAAAATCGTCCATGTGCGAAAAATCGAGAAAGAAGCAAATAAAATAAAGAATAAACATTTCGGTCCCATTGAGGATCAAACCCGGGTCGTTCGCATGGCAAGCAGGTGTCCAACCACAAAGCCACGATGTTACTTGCAGCTACTCCGGAAAAAAAAATTCTACACAAATACCATGTAAGGGAGGAGTGTAACGCATTTTGCTTGACAGGTGTCACGACAAAACCATGCCGATTCAGCGATTTGTAGGCGCATTAGGGAGGCCATGAAACTACGTCAAAAAAGGCCGGGGTAGTGCAACCATAGCCGCTAAAACCACACAGGAACTTCCAGACAGCACTAAAGATGGACAACTATGTGCATCTAGCGGAAAACATATCATGCCTTTCCAGAGACGTTGATCAAGCCAACTGCAAACGCAAAATAACGTGCTGCCATCTGTGAGGCATTGTGAGACTCTTTATGACTTCCCCGAGATGGTGAGTGAGTGGCGTGTACCTTGGAGGCCATGCGACTTTTTCTTGAGATCAAAAACCTCTATGTGCATACCATTCGCGAGCGTGCGCTGGTAAAATCTACTGTGTGTATGTATGTGTGTGTGTGTCTGTGTGTGTGTGTGTGTGTGTGTGTGTGTGTGACAAAACATATTATTAAGTATGCACTTAGCGGTTGAAGGGCGCACTAGGGGCCAGATTTCACTATCGCGTTCAACTCTTAAAGGCGAAGTTGAAGGGTTCCCCATTTATTGGATGAGAGATGAAAGGAACAAACAGAACAAGCTCCTTTCATCTGGCGTCCAAACATTGCCTTGCACACGAATTTAGGACTACGAGTTCCTATCAACTACCTCAAGTATCTATTCCAAAGGTGTAGAACAGTTGGCTACCGACCAGTAGGAAAAGTAACCACGAAATTACACACATAATTTCTCAAATGCATATTCTGAGCTCTGGTACCATGAATGAACCCTTGTCGGTCAGTCTGTGGTCTGTTTCATATACAGTCAGAATCACACTAGTCTGGAGCGCCCAGCCGGCTGCTAAATACGGCATTTTCTGGGGGAATACGCAAAGACCGATGTCGTAATAACGCCTCCTGTTGGCATACTGCATGCAAGTCCTTGTACTATAATTCAAGCATGAAGCTAACGTAAGACAACACTGGCGGACAACGGTATCCACAGTCACACATTAAACCAGTTTGCACCCTTGAGGGTGCTTTGCGTGTCTATAACACCCTGCGATAAAAATGTTTGGACAAATCAAAACACCCATATGAATGTTTTGATTTGTGAAAACACCCTTTTTAGTGTGTTAGCTATAGACACGGCCAAGCGTGTATATAACACCCTCGAATGAAAATGTGTACATATACTAAAACACCCACATAGGTGTTTTGAGTTATGAAAACACCCTTATTTTAGGGTGTTAGCTATATACACGGCAAAGCACCCGGAAGAGTGAAAACTAGTTTACTTTGAGGGCACTCCACTGCTCTGGACATTGTTATTCCGTCCGCACACCGCCATGACACTGCTTTCTTTCTCTAAGCTAATTATACACCCCATCAAATCAAGACGTTACACTGACATGAGTATTTCTTTGAGACTAGTATGTCTGTGACAATAACGTAATTTACCCTGAAGGGGTCATGCTGATGTTGTTGTTGTTGATTATGATGATGATTTATTTTCTTACATTCAAATTACGAGCATCACATGTTGCCTTTTCTTGTTCGTTCATAAGAAGTCGAAATTAGCAAATCCACGCATTCTTTTCTCACCTTTAAGTCTTTCTTTTTCCTTTTCTGAAGTGACCGTCTACTTTACGCCACCCAGTACATCACACTTGGTGACGTCGTGAAGAAACTCATAGATTCCGGAAAACTCAAGTCGTTATTTTACAACGGAGACACAGACCTGACATTCAACGTTGTCGGCAACCAAATGTTCGTCGACAGTCTTGGCTATGAGGTGAGCGCTACTTAATTGTCTTGTTATCTTGTGTACCATTTTCTCTGACCCAGAAGTGACAAACCGCAGCAGCCTACGGCCTAATCAATTATGAACTATAGAGGAAACAGCGCAAGAAATGTGGTGATGTTGATTTGAATACCTTTTGCCGAAATCCATATTTATATGGCCGCGATACCATGACTTAATGGAAAGAATTTGCGTTTCAACCTACATGGATGTCGGTGAACTTTTTGTCTGTTTTGAAAATAAGGTATAGTGTAAGTTTGCGCATCATTATTGAAAAACAGTGATATAACAAAGCCGGGGATATAGCAAACAAAGTACGAACAACGGTTCGTGACGCTTTCATTTCAGTGAGATTAATTTTTTTTGATAACGAGACATAGAATGATGGAGCTACCGTGATATCAATCGCAATGAACAAATTTTCGGTCGAGTTTGCGGAACGCGAAAGGTAGCATAGAAAGACAGATAGATATAACAGACAACAATGCCAAAGAAAGTTTTTTTTAATTTACTATTAAACTATTACTAATACCTACTACTATGCTTTGTGACCAGATTATCACTGTCGATGATGTCAATTACGTACTCGTTCCAAAATGTAAAGCACTTATAATGCGTCAAATAAGAGTACGCTTTTGCAGAAAAAACCGCAATTATAGTACTTCAAGAAATACACGGTGGTTACTAAAAAGCTTGAGGATGAAGTGCGTATTTTTCCCCTTTGTGGGTTTTGTTCTTGCAAGTAGAGCAAAATATATAGTGGCCGAACACTGTGGAATTATGTGATGTTCTTGTTACTGGTTCCTTCGAACCCACGCACTCAGGTCCTTTCAGAGTACAAGCCTTGGAAGCTACGTAACCAGGTAGCAGGGTACTACCAAGCCTACAAAGGAAACGTCACATTCGTGACGATCAAGGTGAGTTTTATGCGGGTGCTCTGTTAGCGGTGCTGGTAATAGACGGAATTATGAGAAATCACCATGTGATTCCTAATAACTGTGTGCTTAAAAGCGATCCTCCCACCAGAAAGACCATATATTATGATTATCTTGCCGCTAAAGAAACCCGGTGTTTTGTGTTTTAAAGGCAGAACAGATGGAATAACTGTTCTTCTCATGCAAGCGAAGTGCTCTTTCACAACAGCAAGAACAAAATGCCGCGAGATGGTGGCTTCTACTAGGCCCTACGTAGTTCCTAATTGGTAAAAATGAAGCAAACTGTCTTGGGAGCCAGCCAGAGTAATATACCACGATATAGAAAAAAAATGTTTTAAACAATATTTTGCTTCAAATGAAATGGGAAACGTAAAAAAAAAGACCTTGAAATTCGTTACGTCCGCAACAGAGATGATGGCTGGAAACTTAAGAGTTATTCTTTGGCATTGCTTTGCTGACATAATAATAAACAATGTTGGTGAAACTAATGACACTAAAATTTCAGAGCACAGATGATCAGTCTAAACCTGGAACTGACGATGAGAAACTGCCGTTTTTTTTTTCGTGCTGCCATTTCTCTGCTTACTTTGTTATGGCATACCACTTCACTTCATTTCTTCCTCTACCTATTTCCACCCTTCCCCCAAGTGCCAAGGTTGTGGTGTGCTCGCCTGAGGGACAGTTACTGCATCACTTAGGCTCATTTTTCACACTCAGTTGTTTCAAGAATGTCCTACCTTATTGAGTTCGTTATTTCAATTATGTGTACTTTGTACGCACTTTAGCTGCAGCAATGTTTCTTTGTTTTTTTTTCGTACGGGAGCTTATTCTCTCGACCTCACATTCGAGAGTCAGACAGACACGAACTTTCTTGGGTCCCGAGAAATGCTACTCCTTTAGAGCAACGTCTCGGTCCACTCTCATGTTGGGACTGGGAGACTTTGCAGCACCGCCACATCATGAGCTCTCTGGACAGCCGTTAGCTGCTGTAGTAACCATGAGCTTCATAAGACAGTGTCGCAATTTTTTTCTGTGAGACGACTTGGGTCCCGTAACGAGGGGCACCTTCAGAGAATATGTTCGAAGTTAATAACCTCACCACAAGCAGGGCAGGTATACCCAAAAGCCTCTGAGGAGACCATGCTGAGGAAAGAATGGCTTGGAAAGGACATGACCTGGACCATTCCAAAAATTATGACCTGAGGTCTTGACAACTTGCTGTTCGAATGAGAAAATTACCGCCTACTCAATTAGTAGTGTTTGGCCACTTCACTGAATGTAAGTGAAGCGCTCCTAAACAGGCCACTGCCATCAAGCAGACCTACGTCGTCCCCCCCCCCCTCACCGCGGAGGGTTAGTGCGCGCGCCCGGGAGGGAGCAGTTTCATTCAGGTTTACGAGGGAGTCCCGTTAAGATTCGAGATTGGTAGCAAACAGGTAATGGTATGTAGAGAAAGTGTCCTGTTTTCAGCTAGTTTAACTACACGAGCACAGACCAAACCAGAGGCAAGAACCCTGACCGCCAAGCTGGGGTTGGTGAAGATTTGCGACCTGCTGTCATCCAAAAGGGCAAGGGCTACAGACATCTGTCGGGCTCTTGAGGGAGTAGAGTACCTAAGTGACGCAGGATAGATAATAGAACCCACGTGATTGACGGCAATAACTGAAAATCTCGCTGAGTGACTGTCCATTGTGCAATGGATGGGCGTTTCGTGGAACTGGTGAGACCTGGGTGGCAGTACACTGTTCATCCGGCAGTTGAAGGCGGCAATCGTCTACGAGCGCCTAGCTGAGGCCTAAGATGGACAAAATCTGCCTACCAGCAGGCGTAGATGACAGGCGCACCAGCTGTGCCGTCTCTTGGGCTTCAATGATCTCCTCTTGGGTGTTATGGACTCCTAGCTGTTCCTTCAGTGCTTCTCCGCGAGGGGATGCCCAACATTCTCTATATGCTTTTTCTGATCAGAGTTTCCAGCTCCTACTTTTTGAATCCGTACCAGGAGCACATGGCAGCAACGTATGTTGTGAAACTCATGAGAATAGTATGACTCGTGAGAATGGTACGCAATGCATGCTTGTCGGAACGACCGCACCGGCAAATGGTCCCGTTTTATAAATTTATTTTACAGGGAGCCGGACACTTGGCTGCACAGAATAAGGCGGAGGAGGCACTTGACGTCATTTCCCGACTGTTCAAGAGCGATGCGCTATGAAGTGGGATGCACATGCGAACGTTATAAATCTCGGAAAACCAGAGCGGATTATACGGTCCCTGTCACAGAACTTGGTATCCGAAAACATTTCGGAGTTAAAGCTCTTCGGAAAGTAAGTTACAGTGAAACTTGGTGGTTTGTGTAATACTAGCCCAGACAATTAGGCAATTGGAATTAAAAATGCACAGCTTCTTCACAGACTCACCGAAGATGAGTGGGGCGGAGCGTTCATTCGTCTGTCCGTCTGTCCATGCGTCCGTCCGTTTCTATCACACTAGGGAACGCATCGGACGACAAATGATTCGTCCCATTCATCATCATTCCCTCCGTGCATATGCTGTGAATTTTTTATTAAACAAAAACCACTAATGCCATTGAGTAATAATATTTCCAAGACGATGATGTAGTGATGGCCTGCCCCTTTGCAAAGGAGGAAAAGTATGTATACACTAAACGCGATCTAGTGAGCAAATGTTGAAACTAACTTTAAGTTGTTAGTGGCTACTACAACATACATCTGTGACGGAATTACTCCCACCCAAAAGAGCTTCTATTCTAAAACATTTATGAATGAAGAAGTTCATATTACGCGTCGTCTGGGTACATACCTTGATGCCTTTTATACCGCAACACCTTCTCGGAAACATGGCTATCTCATTAAGGGTAGGTGTGATGAAATAAGCCCACCGTAGCCATATTTGTTTGTGTATACCATGCGTTTATTATAAACAGAGTTATCACCAGTTGGGCTTGAATGTATCATGGCTTAACACTTTTACAATAAACCTTTCTCGGCCTTTGTGCTTTACTGAAAAATCGTGGGTAGGTGATTTTTTCGCACTGGGAGTCTTATCGTGACTATATTGTGAGCTATAAAGAAAAAAAGAAGCAAGCGTAAAGACAGAAATGTTTTCACTTCTTACACCGACTGGCTACGCGGCGCGGAGAAATGGGAAATTGGTTATGGAAGATGATAAGAGATGAAAGGCTTCTGAGTAAAAGGAGAGACAGAAGAATTGAGGATCTCCTGTTCAATCGGGTAAACGGGGCAAACGAATCCTGACGTCTGACACGGTTTTCTTTGTATATCAATTTATTTATTTTTCTTCTTCTTTTTTCTTTCTTTCTATGAACTGGGTGTTTCCAGAACGCTGTTTTCGAACCAATTCTGCATGACGTAGTTCCTGTACTATGCTGAGTTTGTCAGCCTCTATAACGAGTTGACGACCCACGAAAGAACCATACACGTGATAGCGAGAACGCTGTTTAACAACTGATTCTTCTCGGGGTCAGAATTTTCATGAATTGTGCTATTGCTTAAGATCGCTTTGCACCTCGTTCAAGAGATTCACTACTACAACACGCTAGTATGCTTGAACTCACTTCCAATTGGGAAAGCCTGCGTGCGTGACCTATAGGGGTCAAGCAAACTCAAGGCACTTACTTCCAGATCGGTGAGACACGGCTTCGAAACCTAGTTCTAGCAAGAAAGTACATTTTGTCTTATTATTTTATTGCGCACCAGATGTGGGTGAGGATGGTCATCACAGTTACAAGGGTAAGTCAGCACAAACTTTTCTTGAAACGCAAAAAAAAAAAAAAAATTGGCCCCGTATCTTCATGTTACACTGCAAATGTCGTTCAAAGACGATAGTCTTGCGTCTGGAGAGAGTAAACAAAACGTTTATTTGATGTTCTGTTGAAGAAAATCGGTTAATGGTATTTCGGAGAGGCTGCGTAAGAATGACTCGAGCATGCAGCGGAGGCGAACGAGCGCATCAAGTCATGTTACATGTGAGACATGAGCGCTATCTGGCTGTTATCTTGGAAAACGAAGCGCACGGCGTGCGCGTCCATCTCGGAGGTGATAAGGTGTAGAGCGCAAGCCAACCGGTAGGTGCCACCACCGTGTCGTCTTAGCAAAGCGTTGGAAACACTTGCCTGTTAGTGCAAGCGTTGCATGGTCAGCGCAGCGTGATGAACGCTACGCTCCTTATAATTACTTATGTATGCCTTTTCTAGTAAAAGATATCCATACAAATAATGTGTTGTTATGGTGCCTCAGAAATGCGCAGTAATTGCTTTTCAATTGACAATCGCACAAGTATGAACGCTGAATCTTGTGGAATATTGGTGGGCGCTGCGGATGGCGTGAGCCGTTTGGGTCATCGTCTAGTGCCTTTTAAGGTAATGTTAAGGCCGGACAAGCAGACAAATGCACAGACAGACAGACAGACAGACAGACAGACAGACAGACAGACAGACAGACAGACAGACAGACAGACCAAAATTTTTGCATTGAAGGTCCCCAAGAAAGACTATCGTCTTGAAAAAAGCACGTGCGATGCTTTGTAAAATGTGCCTCTAAAAGCCCATTTTAAAAGCGCAAGAACGCTCTGAACACCTTCCATGAGGCGTCCGTGATGCCTAAGGGTGTCTCGTTAAATTCAGCGGCGGTTTTCAGGGCTGAAGCATTTTCCAGTATAGGCTCGTCCGTTGTTCATGAGGCTCGTCCGTTGTTCCTTGAGGCTCGTCCGTGATGTTCATGCTCAAGGTAAAGCACTGATACCCCAAGAAAAGTTTAATAATCGACCAATACCAATCATAACTGTGACCACACAATATGAAGCATCTAGAAGCACTAACCCCTTACACTTGTCGGCGACTTGAACACAGACATTACGAACCTCATACCGCAGCTTAGCCCACTTGTCACCATTTACTTCGCGGAGATAAGCATTTATAACATTGGTAACATTCATCTTTATAATCTGCACAATGAAAACTGGGCACGAGGTGGCCTAAGTGCTGGTGTAGGTGGACGTTTAAATGTAATACATGCCTGCACTCGCCTTCTGCGTAACGAGAAAAAGGAAAATGATTGTAAATAGTCTACACTAATGCTGGCTACAATGGTTGTGTAGCTGATTTTTCAATGTAATGAAACTTACGTACACGCAAGCTAATGATATCGCCCACGGATTCGTTGCGTTTTTCACACCTTTTTCTCGAAGGCAAAATATTGTGCCTACCAGATTCACACACAAAGATACACTTAATTTTGTTTCACCTGGTCAACCTGCACTGAAGACCAAAAGGCTGACTGACAATACACTCCGTGTTAATGTACAGCCATGGTACTTCTGTCTCTGGCAAATGGAAAATATAGCATATCGAATGATTGGATAGCGCCCTATAATTCTGTTCATATCCGCTGCTGTTTATCTTTGTCGACCGCATCAAGCTTTCGCTTTATTGAGCTATCAGAGAGATTACGCTGATTGTGTACCTGCCACCTTAGAACAATAGCCATTGTATCGCTACCGGTGAGCAGCAATGTCCGACGGGAAAAATGATTGCCCCGTTACCAACAAAATGGTGGCCTACGCCAATTCATGCAGCCAAGTAATCAACTGTAGTATTCAAAGGAATACATATTACCACCTTTATAGAAGCGTAACAAGTGACACGCACTTTATAGCAGAAGTCGCGAGCAGCTCTCACGACTACAGAGAGCCTTGAAGTCACCACATTGACTTCTTCGAAGGTGCGTAGCATTGCTGTCTTTTGCAACGCTTTTTTTTTTCGTGTTTGAAGACTGCATGCTGACGCTACTGCAGTTGTTCACATTGAGCACTGCTTAGTTGTGCCTTGTCTTTTAATGAAATATTAGGCATAACGAAGGCGTATCTAGAAGCAGGCTCATATCAAATGATATTTTTGGAGAAGGAATGGGGAGGGGCGCTTGCTGAATGCCGAGACGATTGGTAAAAAAAGTACAACAGCTTTATTGATTTATTATTTTCGGTAAAATAGCCCCCTACATCAGAGTTTTTAATGGGGCGGGCGAGCCTCAAGTTCACGTTTCTCCACGGACCCGACTACGAACCCGATACACATAGACACATGCTTACAGGTACAGATGCGAGCATTACGTGCTTTAGGACAAACTGAATAGTGTAAAAGCTTCTGCGCAGCTGAATAACAATGAAAAAACTTAAACGTTCCATTCAATGCTAAATTATATGCCACCGTGCATCTGCATGCTTCTTCATAAAAAAAAGCAACAGAAAATGTGAAAGCGAAAAAATGAGCAGCTAAACAAATAGAATATGAGGTTAATGAACAGCGAGGGTATTCACATTTTAAAACTTTCAACATCCAATTGACACCGCATGTGCATAAACCGGTGTCATTCAATATTAACAAAATGAATAAAGTGTTTTCAATGATAAATAGGATGATACATTCAGACTGCCACAATGGCTAAAATACTCTACCTACCATAGCCATAAATGAACTAGGGATGACAAAATTAGCTCACGAACTAAGCAGAGAACTCGCAGAGGTCGCTTATAGATAGTTGAATATGTCGTGTACTCTGCGGAACAAGTAACCTTTGATAACAAGCTTCCTAAAACAGCTGGCCTGTACCCACAAATCACTAGATATGCCCCAATACTGCAGAAATGTTCTCAATAAAATTTGAATTTGCCATGTCATGTGTGGCGACTTGTCATAGGTTATATTCGTAGGTGATCGAGTGCAAGGACATAAGTGTAGCCATTGAGAGGTTTGTAATCCTATCGAAAAAAAAAATATCTATACGGCTGGTATATAAAAAAGAGAATACACACTCGAGAAGCTATGCTTATTGGGGTAACACGAAAATCTTCCTCAAGATTATGTTCTACGAGTTGTCACAAAATTGATTCTGCATTGTTTTAAACCTGATCGATAGAAGTAGAGCGTAGGAGGCGATGCGGTTCACAAAATTCCTTGCCTTGTTCATCACCACGGTGCCCTTGCTGAGCATCACGGCGCAAGGACCATCGCAAGACGAAATCAAGTCACTCCCGGGACTGTCTGTCAAGCCTACTTTCAAGCAGTACTCAGGATTTCTCAACGCAGGACCAAATCGACGCCTGCATTACTGGTGAGTTTATAACTCTTGAAAGCTAACCGTTCCTGTCGAAGGAAAAAAGAAAGAGAGCAATTAGGAAGGGTTACCTGCTCCATCGATGGATAAAAACGAAGACCTGAATGACCGGTTTGGTGGCTCTCATTCGTGACACCGAGCTTGACCCCGATAATAAAGGAACCAAGTTTCCAGATAATACAGACGACTTTTTTAACTGATACTGTTGGACGATGACAGTGGTTTCCTAATTAGCACGCATTCTTACTAAATAGTTCACAAGAGAAGGGTATCACGAACCCACGTCAAACGCGCTGTGCTTAGACAAAGTGTCCAATATATGTCATAAAAGTGTACACTGCTGGCCCCGCCGCGGTGGTCTAGTGGCTAAGGTATACTCAGCTGCTGACCCACAGATCGCGGCGATGAATCCGGGCTGCGGCTGCATTTTCAACGGAGGCAAAAATGCAGTAGGCCCATGTGCTCCGAATTTTGGTACATGTTAAAGAAGCCCAGGTAGTCAAAATTTCCGGGAGCCTTCCACTACGGCGTCTCTCATGATCATATGGTGGTTTTGGGACTGTCACACCCCACATGTCAATCATCATAAAAAAATGTCACTGTGTCCACTGCCCCAGCAGCCCAGCATCTGTGAACGTTGTTTGGCTAACGAAGGAGATCCAACTAAAAGGCACAGACCGGCCAACACTACCTAAAATATACCACAATTGAACCTAAACTAACCAGGTAGTAACCGGTAACGATTTCTCCGGCTCTACACGTAAATACGGCCGTTTTAGTTACGTGACTTATCAAAACAATTCGTTAACCTGGACTGCTTTTGGAAGTATCCCATAGTTTTTTCTCTGAATACCTAATAAGGGACGTCGGCCAGCTTGTTATGCCACACAATTAGAAGAACACTGTCGACAGTTTCTTAATAAAAAAAGGCGTATCATAAAGAGTCAAAATATTGTTCGAAGGCCACAGCGAGAATATTACATAAACCTGTCCACTAATAATCGTTTCCTGAGCATGCTGAACAATCACAATGCTAGAGTTCTACACAGTACTGATAGACACATACACACACTAAAAGGCCAAGAGGCAAGTTGAACTCGTGTCTGTGGTACATTTACATATGTTCTTAGTGAACAGTGATGACAATTCACGGTTTCACCTTCAATCTTCATCGCCATGCAGCTGATCAGGAGCTTGTCCTGATCCCTACGCGGGCGAGCAGACGCCAGGGGAGATGCCGAGCAAGCGACGCGATGCGGAAACATTCTTGTGTACAGGCGAATGGGCCTTCTATTAATGGCTAAGGGTCTTCTTGACAGTGCTGAAAGGAACTTTTGAGATGAAGTATAGGTTGCACCCCATACATTTCGAGACAGTAAATTTTGCCCGGTAACAAGAACTTGACCTCTAACTGTACTCGAAAGCGAAATTTGAGGCTAAACAGTGTTCATACAGGCACCAATTATGAATACAGACATCTATAGGCACCTAGAAAATTTAGGCACAAACTTCTAAAATAGGCACTGGAAAAACACTTTAAAAGTCCTTATAAGCTCCTAATTCATGCTCATATATGAAAGTGGCACGATAGCAACGCAAGAAAATAGATAGGCATTTGCCTATAGTGCGCTCTCTACAGTCCTTACGTACGGTAGATATATGACCTCTGCATACAATGCAGGTTTGCAGCGAGCCAGACACCGAAAGCATCTTTAGATCCGGTCGTCATCTGGGTGAACGCGGGACCCAAGGGTTGCAGTTCGATGCTTACTCTAATGATGGAGCATGGACCGTTCCGGCCAACGGATAACGGGCGACGCCTCGTACCAAATGACTTCAGCTGGAACAAGGAAAGTGACGTTACGCTTCCCAATATTTCCGCTTTCTTCGGCCTGCTGACGTATCCCCGTCCGTTAGGCTGGTTGTCTCTCAAACGACAATGCCCTACCCTGCATCTTTTTTCGTTCACTGCTTCCGCTCCCTCTACGCTGTGGTGTGCGCGCTAATCATACTAGTAATAATATCTGGGGTTTTGTGTTCCAAAACAATGATATGATTATGAAAAACGCCGAAGTGGAGGGCTCCAGAAAATATGACCGTGTGGTGTTCTTTAACTTGCACTGACATCGAATGGTGTACCCGCTTTGTTGGTGGTACAACCCACTTTGGAAGTCTCGCACTTAGACTTCTCCGTAAGAACTTTTTTCCGTTTCACATTTTTCGAGCTAGATGGGTCTTTTTCAGACCCACAGGCAGCCGCCCAAGTTACACTGAATATAGAAGAAACAAATTTTTAAAAAGTTGGCAGATCCCACGTACCACGCGAATTAATGTTATGCGAAAAATGCGGATGGAAGGCCATTAGCTACGCGCACTACCAGCATGAACTGTGGCAGTCTGAAATGTTTCATTTCATCATCACGTACTAATGTTTCATTAGTACGTGATGGTGGTTAGGCGCGCACATATCGCGAACACGCGCGCATCTCTGACGTATCTGTGATGCCTATCTGTCAATGCGTCATGAATACGCTTCCAGGGGACTGTTGAGAAGGATCTTAACTTGGAACAAATCACTGTGAAATGTCAGCACCATGAGCAAAAGTATAGTTGTTCAACCGTCTATTAGGGCGGCAATGAGGAGCCTATGTACACTGATGTATGACGTGTAGTTCAGTTGCTTGAATTCGTTCATGTCGTTTATGAAGGAGTGTTCAATGAGACCTAAATTCCTCATCGAGGCAACAAGATCTCGGGAGGCTCTGTTTACACGAAAATATATTTCATGTATTCTGTGAACCAGGTCTAGTTGTGATTTGAAACGCCCACAGTAATATAGCCAGCAGTGATGAGAAGCGATGAGCTGATATTTATCCCTCGTGCCAGCGAGGAGGTGGTCCTCTACAATGTTAAACAAATGAGCTTCAGTGGATGACGCTTCACTATGATTGCCATTATCACTATTTAAACCTCTTGCGTTATCACGACAAGAAGGCTGTATGATAGAAGTGCGTATGTAGTGTGTACAAGATTGTCTAGCCAGAACTGGAATCACAACTGACGTTTAACGAGCACAATGGTCTACTTGAAAGCAAGTTCCGAGACCCGGAGTGGCTCTGTCGTAAACACTCGATTGCCACTCAGAATGTGGGATTCGATTCCTGCTGGGACCATGATATATATTCTGTGCGTTCGTTGGGTCAACGCTGCCGATGCCAGCTTTTAGGGGCGAAGCTCCTTAGGGCTAACCTTGTTGGTGCCCATCCAGCCCCACTAAACACAAACCGAAACTGAACACCTGCACAAAACAAAAAAAGGAAAACTTATGTGTAAACAACAAAACTTTGTGTGCAATAAACTATACGTCAGCATTATACATGACCATCCTAGCCGCTTTCTGTACGTCCGTTCAGCCATCTGTCTATCCATCCGTCCTCGCATCCGTGCATACGTCCACCTATCCTTCCATGCGTCTGCCGTTCATATGTCTATCCTTCATACAAGCCACTACCTTCGCTTGGGCCGACTCCCCAGCCTGTACGAGTATCAACGACGCCATTTCCAGCAACACAACAGCGCTATAGCGGAAACCCTTGGCGCACAGTTGACAATCGCCCGATCTGTTACGCATGCGGATATCCAGGTCACGTGGCGCGCTTCTGTCACCGGCGCTTCGCAACGGGCCCGGCTGCACCTCCGAGGTACCCTGACTACTCTTTACCGGCCCCGTGCAACGCGCAACGAGAACTGCCACGTCAATGCGACCGACAATCAGTGGAACGCGGCCCGTCACCAACCGAACTAGACCACCACCCTGCTGCCGACTACCGATCATTCGGCCCCCGTCGCTCATCCTCACCACGCCGCTACCGTTCTCCGTCCCCTCTGCGTCGCCGACCGAACCCTGTAGAGACGGAAAACTCACTGCCGCAGCTCCGGAGGCGCGAGCTGCGAAATCGTCGTCGCATTGTACAAGTCCTCGCCCGTCCCCCACAAACGTTCTGGTAGTGTTTGTTGAAGGTCTACGAACTCTTGCGCTTGTTGATACGGGTGCCGCCGTATCTGTGATGAGTCAGAAACTCTGCCGTTCGATACGAAAAGTAACGACGCCGCCTTCAGACGCTTTGCTGAATACCGCATGTGCGCAACCAATTCGACCAGTCGGAGCATGTACGGCGAGAGTAAACATTCAGGACGTCCTGTACCACATCGAGTTTTTCGTGTTGACTACTTGTGCCCACGACGTGATACTTGGATGGGATTTTTTGTCACGCCACCCCGCCGTACTTGACTGCGCTCGCGCGCAGGTGGAATTATCTGTGTTTTCAGATGCGCCATCTACCGACAATGAGCGCACTCACCTGGGCAAGCTTCTTGTTGCTTTCGACGTTGATGTTCCTCCTCTTAGTGCCATCGTTGTCCCCGTCAATCGCACTGAATTGTCCGGCTTTACCGTTGTGTTCTCCCCATCTGACGTCTTCAGTCGCCGCCACGGTACGTCTCTGCCGTACGCCGTTCTGCCACCTCACCAAGATACTTCCGGAATTGTCGTTTGCAATCCTAGCCCATGCCCTCTCACCTTAAGAGCTCACGAAACACTGGGCTATGTTCATCCTGTTGATGACAACGTTATTGTGCCTATTGAGTCCCATGACCCTGGCCAGCAACTTATTAGCTGGTCGCGTTGATCCGGAGGAAGCTTGCTGTCGATGGAACGATTGAAGATATCCGAAAAGTAGTCATCCCGCGTAAAAAGAGGAGTAACGGCGTTCAGTTGAAGTTGCTGGCTAGGGTCGTGGGACTCAATAGGCACAATAACGTTGTCATCAACAGGATGAACATAGCCCAGTGTTTCGTGAGCTCTTAAGGTGAGAGGCGTGAGCTAGGATTGCAAACGACAATTCCGGAAGTATCTTGGTGAGGTGGCAGAACGGCGTACGGCAGAGACGTACCGTGGCGGCGACTGAAGACGTCAGATGGGGAGAGTCAGAGGGGAGAGATGGGGAGAGATGGGAGAGATGGGGAGTTCCATACTGTCAACGTAGACAGTATGGAACTTAGAACTTATAGCTTCGCCCACTCGTCATCATTAATTTTCAAGAGCACGGCCGGCATTCCTCCGTCACGAAGTTAGGCAGACACCGTCGGTTCCTTATTCTATGACGCGGTGCTGTCTGGGTAACGTCGTCGGCGTGAAATTCAGCATGTCGCATTTCGCGACGGCTACCGCCAGGCCTCGCCGACAGACGCTGGTCGCACCTAGCATCAGACTATAGAGTGCTCCAGTTTTGCTAGCGTAGCGTCGCTGCGCCCAGCGTCGCGCGCATCAATGCTACGTGCGCTCGCCGCCGTTTCGCTAGCTTCACATATGCCAAGTTTGGTATTACGGAACGTGAATGTACGACGAAGTTATGTGACTGCCGCAAGCATGATAATCATGAGATGCGTGTCATGTAATCACATGGCCACATGCCACGCTCGCGATGTGCTCGTGGCCGTTTCGCTAGCTCCACATATACAAAATTTTGTACTGCATGACGAATACACGACAAAGGTAAATTACACGTCCGAACATGATAATCATGACATGCGCGTCATGTAAAACATGACTACATGCTACGCTCATAGCGGGCTCACGGTCCTTTCACTAGTTACTCATATACCAAATTTGGTATCACGTGACGTGAATGGACGACGAATTAAAATGACACGTCCAAAGATGATAATCTGGACATGCATGTCATGTAAAACTTAATTATATGCTACGCTCATAGCACGCTCGCGGTTGTTTCTCAAGCTCTTCATATTTGGTATTAGGTGACGTTAATAGAATACGAAGGTAAATGACACGTCCAAAATCATCATCACACGGAGGGCATTTACGTCATGGTTTTACCTGCGCATCCTAACGTTGCGCTGATTTCAAAGTGGCATATCAACCTTCTTCATTCGTGCTTCGCACATCATCGATTCCCACTGTACGTGGGAATCTGCCAACTTTTTATTAATCCTGCTTGGGTAAGCCGCTGTGTCCTCTGCCCTCTTAACTTTGTGCGCACGCACTACTTTTCGCTGATGCTGCGCTGCCACCCTGACGATCGTGTAGCCCGGGTGGAACCACCAACCCGGCTGCCTGACCAGGGTTTTACCAGGAGGGAGAGGTTCATTCTACTTCGCTTGGGATGGCGCCGGGCCGCAGGCCAGGCGCCATCGGCTTGGCAGAGCCTCGTCCCCTTCGTGGGCTGCGTGCGCGGCAGATGAAACCATCGAACAACTGTTGTGTGCCTGTTCAGCGCTTCACACACGACATGACGTCTTTCTCGCCGCACTCTGTCGCCATGGATTGCCCGCGGTTACACAAAGGGACTTCCTCTTCCCTGCACGGCACCACACCAAAAGGTTCAAGGCGGTTCTTCGCTTCCTTGAGGACACTGGACTGGACAACCGGCTGTAGAAGCCGCCTGCCAGTTCCACGGTCATGGACGCCATTTCTCTTCTTCTCTATTCTCTACATATTTATTGATCTCATGCCACTCTTACAGACGCAGAGCGTGCTTCCAATTAAGGCTGCAGAAGTTGCGTCTTTTGTTTCCTAAAACTCTCTCTCCCTCTCTCTGGAGTGACTCCGTGCCTGCTATCCCTTTAATCACTCTTCCTGAGCATCGCACGCGCATTTGCACGGATCCAGGAAAGCCTGTCGCAGAGTGCGGACAGCTGCTTCGTACACGGCCTGTTGCCTTGCCACCGCCTTCGATATTTCACGGCGAGAGTCTCGGAGACAATGCGCTATAATTCTTCTCGTGCAAATAGGCGATGCTGCAACTGCACGGCTCGCTTTTGGTTGGATTTCACTTAGAGACGTGCCGTGAAAATGGGGATGGCTCGCACTCATCCGTTTGCCGCGCATCGCTCCCGCGTTCTGCGACTCCTGCCGCTCGCGAGAGCATCGTTGCCGCACGCCGCATTTCACGCACGTTTTTTGACGCTAATGAGTACTTGGCAAGACCCCAACGCGCTAGTGCATTCTGACTATTCAACGCTCGTCTGCCAATCGTTATTCCTCGACGCCATCAGATGATTGCTGAGAGTGGAAGCTGTGGCCTCTCCCCCTTACACTCCCTCATCAATCGCGTGAAGCCGACGCGCGATGAACACACGTTGTCTGTGTGGCGTGGTGATGAACCCGCGTGCCGTGCCCTAAGGGTTGTGGAAGGGTAACCGCTACAGAAGCTACAGCATAATTCATGTAGCGCTCCACTTTCAAGGACGCGTTAACATCGAGCAAGGTACCCGTGATGATAGGGACTTTTCGGTTAAGCCATGCGCTGCTTCGAATGCTACTCATGGTTTCGTTTAGTGAAAGACAGGTGTAATTTTTCGTACTCCTTTGTTTCTTCGCATTTACATTATTATTACTTCTAACAACATCCCCTATACTCCTCTGGGCATCAGCCTCTTTGTTACTATCAATATTGTGTCCTAAGAAAAGAAAAACTGAGGCCTTAAATTTACACTTCTTTCTTTCATGAATAATAATGGTGCATAAAGTGTAAGCACGGCCATATAGGTAGCCATCAATGTCTGTTTGTTCTAATTGTTCATTTACCTTTCTTTCTTTCTCTAGTTATTTCCTCTATTATTCCCCCTATTCCTTCACTCCACATGCATGGTAGCCAACCTAGCTTGGTTAGCAGGGAGCTTAGCTTTGTTAACCTTCCCACCTTTCTCCTTCGTTTCTCTCTCTCTCTCTCAAGAACGCAATGAGCACCATCAAATGAGAGAGAGGAAAAAAAGTTTATTCGGTGACCAATGACTGAACGTGGCAGGGTCCCTTATTCCAGGAACCCTCTGGCCTGGACTGCCTGCCGGGGCCCACGCGACGAGTTGGCACTGGCGAACCTGTAAAAGCGGCTTCGCAGCTTGAAGTTCTGTGCTACGCTTTATATATAACGTGGATAAACTAGAATAAACTGATATGCGAGTGTTACTCATCCTAGGTGATGGAGCGCCACTGATTTTCTTTTCAATATGGCATATATCAGGACAAAGTGCCCAGCGACGAAAGGGAAAACAACGTCGTCAATTGTAACCTAGTAGTTTCAGATCCATGCATATATATGTAAAAATAAAAGCAAGACTTTAGTGAAAGCATTGCAATTCATCAATGAGTGTACAATTTATTATGTCGTCTACGTTGTGCACAACGCTACAAAATGTTGAATGCAGTCTAGAATGCCGTAAAGAACGGCCTCACGCATAGTTGCACTTGGCTGGGTTCGATTGTTGTTTCCAGATCTGTTTCAGACACGTATCTATAATTAAAATATTATCCTGATATTTATGCTCACATACCATATCATCGCTCTCGCACAAACGCCCCATCCAAGGTAATAAATAAATACCAGCGTGTTTTCTCAGTATTCTGTGATGGTAATATTGCTGGGCTTTGCCTGCATGATGAAATGATCTTCAGAATTGTGAGTTTCACAATGGAAAGAGCAGTGTCATTGTCATGTACGGTTTGTACGCCTACTTCTAATGACATTAAAAAAACTTTGTTACTAACAGGCAATGCTGAGTGACTACTGGCTGCTTCTTCACTCCTCTCCTGCAATCAGGTTGCCAACATTCTGTTCCTGGACGCACCGGCAGGATCCGGCTACTCGTACGACGCCACCGGAAACTACGCGACCGATGACGATCAGGCTGCCGATGACACGTACCTGGCCATACTGGACTTCTACCACAAGTTTACTCTTTACGGCACCAACGATCTATACGTCATCGGCCAGGGTCAAGCAGCCACGCACGTGACTCTCGTCGTCGAGCGGCTACTCGAAGAGCCTACGGTCAAACTGAGGGTAATTGTCCAACACGTATTGGTGGGCTAGTTGGTTGTACGTGGATACACAACACGGCCCAGAAATGCGATACAAGGCACTACGTGAAGACAAAAGGCGCCCTTAAAACTCATGTTTATTGTAGGACCCACTGCTGTGCGTACCACGTCAGTGTATTCATCCAGCCTTATGAGTGTTGCCCTGTCAATCAGTATAGCGCCGCTGTAACTTCGCCTTGTTTGGTTTTCACGTCATTTCTTACCTTATGTGCTCTACGAAACCATTTTTCAGTGACACTTAGATACATCATATGTAGGGGACAGCGTTTCAATTGCCTATCACATTTTAATGCGCCAGTTCTCGGGCTGCTGTCCATGCCTCCAGTCCGTTTAACTGTCGGACTCTGACGTTATATATTGATTATAAAGCTGATATTACGGGTAGTGTAAGTGTCTTAAGAACGCTATCTCATCAGACATTGTACGTATCGTCGCTATGCAGCCTAAATAACTGCTGGGATTTTACGTGCCAAAAGTACGACGTGATTATGAGGCATGCCGAAGAGTAGGTTTTCGGAAATTTGGACCAGCAGAGTTTTCTAACGTGCGCCTAAACCTACGTACACGCAACTCTTGAATTTTCTCCTCCTTCGAAAATGCCATCGACGCGACAGGTACCTAACCAGTTACTCTTGCGTCGGCAGCCGAGCACCATAATCACTGTACCAGTACTTTGCTATCTACTTTCACCAATAAAAAGATTTGCTTGCGAACCCGACTCTGCTGAATCTGACATTGTAGCTTAAGAATTACATAAAATCACGTGTGAACGTGATTTTGTGTAATTCTGAAGTGGGAGTGAACTATTGCATATGAATATCAGGTAATGTTCATGTCTGTAAGATACCGTACATTCAATGTGTGTAGAGCTCACCATCGGCTCCCGCTTTCATTAAAAGGCCATGTTGTGACACAATGGGGATATCATTAAACTTAGCTTCATAATCAGATAAATAAAAGCAGTATCTTGTCAGAGCAGCCGTAATGTCGCGCTTCTTCCTATTTCTGTGTTACCAATGTCTTACGAGAGTTGATTCTTCCGATATCATCTCACGAGATTATTTTGCAGAATCATCTTATCAGAACTGATTCAGGCACTCCTTTTTCTTCTCTTAGGGTTATGCCATCAACAACGGAATCCTGGACAATCGTTTCCGCAGAAACGGCCTGATTTTCTTTGGCTACTATCACGGACTCTTCGGACGAAGGTACGGCCCTCTGCTTCTTTCGCATGCAAATGAGTTTTCCAGTAAGCCGCACTCGAGTGTATGGCGAGTATATCGTTATTACTCTTTAAAATATTGAACGAGCTGCAGTCTGAACGTTACGCAGAAACTTGACACCCTGCTTTGGAAAATAAAGTATCAATAGCCACTCATAGGAAGTAGACTCTCGTGCCCGTCTTTCCGTGAAAAAAAAACAGTGTTGTATTCATCAACGCAGCGTTTATGTAAAACATCACGGTGTGAATATGGTATAATTTGTATCGAAGTGAAGCTAAACACCTTGTATTAATCTCCGATTTCAGTGATGTTTTTTTCGAGCACTGCTCCTCACGCGTCTGTTGGAAAAGACATGAGCAGCCGCAGTCCCAAATTATACGGAAGTTCAGTTCAGTAAACTTTGCTTTCCAGGGTGCAACACTTTAGATTCTCAGTAGTCTGTCAAGTTCTCTGTGTTTCTTCAAGTTTTTTTCGTCATAATTGTTATATGTTGTGAAATTTCTGGCATAAACTTTAGAGCCATATACAAATTTGCTTGATTGTTTTTTTTTTTCGTTTTATTTTCCTGCTATCTTTCAAGGCTGTGGAAAAAACTGACTACTAACTGCTGCAATGGAGTCGTTACACGACGTTCGTGTAACTTCGTGGATTCCACCACGGTAACCTGTCAGGAAGCGGTAAGAGCGGCGTCTTCCACTACTACGCATGCATCTCTGATAAATACATATAAAGGAAGCTCTTCTGTAGTGAATTCGTATCGTGAACACAGATAAAACAAAAATCTGTCCTTGCTATGCACGGCTTGAGTTGTTAGCATGGTTTATTGTCTTATATTTAAGTACAAGTATAGCGACGAAATGATCAGAAGTGCATTTGTTTTTCCCAATAATGCATTCTGTCGAGGATTAGTGATAACTGGTGTTACTTGCGGCTGCAAGGTACATAAGCGTGCTATAGAGATTATTCGCTTTATATTATTCACCAGTTGCACCTATAGAGTTCATAATTGGAAGTGCTTCACGTACAACATTGATTACCCTTAAAGAGAGCGAAGATAAATAATCCTCAGTGAACAATACTATTTTATGAATATTATTGTAGATTTTGTAATTTTGATTGTATTAAGCTTATCCTTTCGAGAATAAATGAAGGCTGATGTCCAGTTTCATCTTTTGTTTATCAGCATAAGTTCCGAGTTTGTTCCTCAATTCAATGCAGCCTTGCTTCTTCATGAGTACAATGTAGTCAACGCTTGTTTTTAACTACTTTTTTTTGTCTCAGCGCACACTGTCTCTAACCATGGCGTCATGAGTTAGTGCGTAGACAATGCACTCCAACCATATTTCGTTCTCGTGCTTTCAGTGGCTAACTACGTCCGCCACGTAGATAGATATACGAGAGACATTTGAGGTGTTTTAAACAACACAATTTGTGACATTTCACCTCATCAATGTTTCAAAATTAAGGTCACCTGAAATGCGTCCCTCCGTACAGGTAAAAGAAGCCGGAAACATATTGGGAACTGAAGGGCTGAACATGTACAATATCTACGCAAAGTGCGAACCATCGAAGAACGGCTCGTTTAGCGCATTCGAGAGTCATAAGTCCCGAAGGTCCCGAAAAGTGCTCGCTCGGCGTTCGGGGGTGACATATGAGGTGAGTTTTTAGGCACCTATGTCTATACATGCAGTGCAAACTACTCGGCAGAGTCTCATTGCATTCATCATTCAGACACCTTCTTCCCACCAAAAAAGCAGCACAGCATTTGTTTCACTTATTACTTTTATGCGAAATAAGCGTTCTCCTTCTATGGAAGTTACAGGAATACTTTTTCTTTTCACGTATTTCTTTATGCTCATTTCAGCACCGTTGACGCAATCACTTTTCATAAAGCTGTCACTGTTATGTTATACGAAGTAAGGTGGTGCCTAAGACGCCTGGCATTTACACAATTTGGGCACTTGTAGCCGCCTTCCATTTTTTATCTACTGAACATTTTTTAGAGGTAAAGGTACTTTGCGTCAACCCATGTCCCCTATTTATAGTACATAGTACCCTGACCATCAGCGTGACACGCTATGAATATACATATCCATATGCATATTCATATTCATAGGAAAAATGGTAGGTGTAACCTTAAGAGACAAGAAGAGGGCAGAGTGGATTAGGGCAGAAACAGGGGTTAAGGATACCATAGCTGAAATCAAGAAGAAGAAATGGACATGGGCCGAGCATGTAGCACGTAGACAGGATAACCGTTGGTCGTTAAGGGTAACTAACTGGATTCCCAGAGAAGGGAAGCGGGTTAGGGGGAGACAGAAGGTTACGTGGGCAGATGAGATTAAGAAGTTTGCGGGTATAAATTGGCAGCAGCAAGCACAGGACCGGGTTAACTGCTGACGGAACATGGGAGAGGCCTTTGGCCTGCAGGGGACGTAGTCAGGCTGATGATGATGATGATGCATATCCATATTGCCCATATTGGTATCCATATGAATATGAATATCTATAGAGATACATGACTATCCATGTAGATACCCATATATGTATGAGCATATTTTAATGATATATATATGAATATCCATACAGATATTCATTTATATTCCATACAGATATTCATTTATATTTTCATAATATCCATATTCATATATGGGCGTCCTCATGGGTATTCATATGATATCCATAAGACTATCCATACGGACATCCGTACATCACGTGCTTGTTGGGATCAATTAACGATTTTGTATATACTGTAAACACGTCTTGTCACGTCTTTTCATGATCGAGTAGGCAATGTACGATGGTTAGTGGTCCCCCAGAGCTTCGCCCACTGGTCTTCGTTCAATTCGTGGATATGATGTGATTTTTTTTCCTCTCCAAAGAACCTAAACAAAAAAGAGGGCAATCCGCATGGAGACTGGCACCGACTGCGGACGAAGACATTGCGAAACTTGCACACACTTTCGAGGATGCATACCCCCGAATGTCGCGATGAGTGCCCCGGGTGCGGAGGGGAACTAACACTGACACACGTGACATGCCGATGTACCTTCACGTCTGGCCACGGCCAACTCCGTGATAGTACAAGTGCGTTAACCTTACCAAACTGGTCATGGCAGGGTCCACTCTCGGAGCCACCGATTGAAATCCGATTGGCCACCCGGGATCATGCTTAGTGAGCCGTTATAGCCTATAGAGCACTGAACCATTGACTCCATCTAGTTTGTAAGGTTTAAAAGTTGCCAATGAACATCTACTCTCTTTCTCTCTAAGGGTACTAGATGGAGCCCTCAGTGCTTGGACACGGGGGACGTGGTTGCCTACTTGAACAGACAAGACGTAAAAAAGGCGTTGCATGTCGACGAGTCACCTAATCCATGGATACCTTGCAGGTAGAGTGCGGGCTTATATATCGTGTCCATCTTCGATAACGGCAGCTTGTGTTAATATTGGCTACATTACCACATCGCTGCAGGGATTCTAAACCATAAAAATTTTACTAGATTGAGGAGAAAGAAAGCCAGGACTGAACGATTGAAACAGATTGTACACTGACTAGTTCGCAAGTATCCCTTCGTAACATTTAGACGTATCAACCAATCGATGATGGAAAGGCATCTTTATCATCGCCTTCGCACACGAATGTACTGAACCTGCACCTTACCACGGCCTCCTCGAAAATATTCCTGCATCTATCGTGATTTCGCGTGGTCTCCGGGATCAGATGCATTGACAGCTTTACCCTGCACGTCACGTGTTTTTACAGCGACTTACAGATCGGCCCGTCTTCGACCGTGCGACGATGACATATGGTGAAAATATCATAGAAATCACATTATGCACTGACCTAGCAACGCCCTAATGACGTCACACGTTTCTGGTGATCTGCGATGTACTGTGGTGAAGTAGTGAAACGGGGACATTTTTCGAATCACTCGGTTTCACGCCGAAGGTCGCTGTTCGCGTCTGATGGGGCATCTACAGGTTTCACCCTAAAAAGAAATGGTACATGTGTCGCGCTTTTTGGTGAGTCGTTCCTTGCCGCCAGACTTTTACACATTGCACCAAATGAGTAGCCAGTTTTATTTACATTACCTTGTGCAGTGGGCTCGCCACTTTCCGCTAAAGAGTCCTATGTTAGGCTCATAGCCACGGGCCATTCATGATGGAGAAGTGCCGGGTGCACGGGGATAACGTAAGGATAGCACTCGAAATACGTGACAATCATCCTTTGGGCAAAAAGACACCCGAAATACACCCTAATTTTGTCAGAGTGTATGAGACATTTGGGAAGTCTTTTGACACGAAACCGAAATGGCGGGAAGAACACTCCACAAAGGCTGGATTTCTTCGAAGGACGTACGGCTCGGTGCTGAAACCTACGTTAGAAGGAGTAGGCTGATTGGAATGACATGGAAGCGAAACCTCGAAACAGTTAGAGCGACAAACTACTCTTTCAGAACTCCGCTGCAAGCGTTGCGTCGGGTGTTCGTTGTCACACGAGAAAATGAGGATAATTGGCATTCTTGAAGTTTATACGCAAATCCTAACACGCGCATTTGTGTGTTACGCCACAGATTTCAATGTAGTTGTCGCATACCGACCTCCTCAGCTGAATGAAGCTCCACGAAACACGTTGTAGTAATGCTTGGGGTTTCCTCATAACAGAAGTCGTTAGTTTCGAACGACAAGAAATTACGCAGGCCTTACGATACACCGAAAAAAGCATCTGACGTAATGATCATAGGCTCACGCATAGGGGCGTGGCCGTCATCGCCCTTCTAACCTGGGGCCGCAAAGTCCGACCACACCCTTTATGCCGAAAGGCCTTTCGTGTGGCGTACCTTTAACTATTTGCTTGCCATCGTTTACTCCCGGAGATCCAGAGACTAAATGGAGACATTAATGTAATAGAATTCACTACTTAATTTTGTTTTTTTTAACCGATGGTGAAGCATGTTTTTTTTTTTTACTCGCGGAACGCAAACCCGGAGGTTTACAAGAATGATTCAGCATAGATTGAGGACGATGCAGTGAGCAATGGAACTGAAAATGATAGGTGTAACCTTTAGAGAGAGGAAGAGAGCAGTGCGGGTCAGGAAACAAACGGGTGTGAAGCACATCTCAATCGAAATCAATACAAGAAATGGACATGAGAAGAGGTAATAGCGCATAGGCAAGATCACTGCTGCCTCATTAAAATTAACACATCGAATTCTAGAAGCCAAACGTGCGAGGGGGAAACAGAAAATTAGGTTGGCACATAAGATTAAAACGTTTGCGCATGAGAGGTGGCTGCAGGGACAGGACCCCATTTGTTGACGGGACATGACTTTTGCCTTGTAGTGGGAGCAATCAGGACGATGATGATGATGGTGATACGTGTTTTTTTAGACTCGACCAACGGGTTAGATTAGGGGGAGAGATGTCTCGATGAAATACCCCCCGCCCCCCTCCTCCCGTGTGGAATTATCTTTTCGACGATTTGATATTGGAGCCAAAAGGCAAAAGGTGGCGTCATGACCAGTTTCTTTTTCGTTGCGACCTGTCTGGCTTATTAAGCGTCTTCCCGCGGAAAAACATGGTATGTGAAAAATTGCTTTTTTTGCGGCCTTTAAACTTAGTGAATCACACTGTTCCATGAGTGTGTATATTTTGTAAGCCTAGCGTGCGCCCTTACACGTACAAAATTTGCGCAAAACGCGCAGGTACGTGCTACGTACCACACGGTCCATACATCAATATTTAACATGTTGCTGTGTAGACCGCATGTCTATAGAAGAAAGGGGGGATGGGGAGGAAGAAATGCACCTCCAATTGTCGCAGTGACTAATCTGAATACCCATGTTGGAGAAAAAATACAATAATAAAAGAAGGTTTTGTTCATTTTGCATTCCCAGTGGCGTGGTCAAGTATAAGGTCCTATACGACGACTTGCGGGAGATCGATAAAGGGGATATCTTCCGGCGACAAAGTGAGGGCCCTGTTTTACTACGGCGACGTCGACATGGTGTCAAACTTTCTCGGCGCGAAGTGGTTCGTGGAAGACCTTCGAAAACAGGTGAGTGCCGGCAAACTGTAAAATTCTCGCTCATCGCCGATGAAGGTTTTTGCTACTCGAAAGACAGTAATCACGAGTGTTCTAGTGCAATTAGTACATAATAATCCTTTGTTTTGGACAGCCAGACACCCCGACACACGGACTATAAAGTGCCCATTGGCCTTTGCGACAAAACATAACCTGTGGACAGCAGCCACTGCTATGAACATCTCTGCGAAATTTTGCAGTCGTGAGCGCGGCAACGAGAATTTGCAAGCGGAGTGCAAGCCGACCATTCTTTTTTTCATTTGCCGTATATTCACAAAAAGGACTGTCCTCACTGTCTTCGCAGTTGTTGGTATTATCGGCCAATACCCGGCATAAATGGAGGGGGGCGTTTCAATTAAATGCCCTTCTTACCACAAAGTGTCGCTACGGGTCGGCGTTGTACTCTATAGCGTGCTAACACAACCGAGTGGGCAACACTCTTTAATGCTAAATTCCAACGAGGGATAGACATCGCGTTATTGACTCTAGTTCAGGGTGACGACGTGTGAATCCTAGTGTCACTCTTACCTTTGTAGCTTCTGGCGCGCTGTTCGCAGGTCACTTGATAATTACTCGGAAATGTGGCTTGTGGCTCCTTTAGTAGAGGCAGAAATTAATTAAGTCCGAAACAAACATATACTGCCTATCGCGTCACTATTAGTTGAATCCAAAGAGTGTATTTTCTATGCCTACTAAGGTGAAACAATGAATTTGTTTGGAATGATCAATTTTACTATGAGCACTTGATTTCACCATAGGTTAATTACAGTCACTTTAGGCTATTAATGCAAAAGATAATGAAGGCAAAACCTTCATTTTAAAATTTCCTACCTGATTCACTGCGAGAAGTTTCGCAGATTTGCACGTGTATTTGGCGTAGTTTTGGGGTATTGATTCAGCAAAATTTTTTGAAACTTTGCACGTTAAATCTGTAGCACCTTCAAAGGGCAAAGTACTTGATTTTTACTGATTATAAAGTACGTAAAACTAAGTGCACATGATTAAATTCATTACGTCATGGCACTCCATCGTGGCTTAAAGTGAGAACTTCAAGGTAACGTCGCCACCATCAATTTATTTCTTTTGCTCATTTTATCGCTTTACAAGCGCCTTACCGAGGCAAGTGTGTAAGTCAGGAATGGCGATACGGTTATTTACTAATGAGGAAAAAAATAATTTTCTCTTTAGCGTCACTCTAAGTGAGAACGTAGCATCCCATGAACACATCTCGAGATATTTTCATAATCATTTTAGTTGCCCTACTAGCGCTTATCACAGGTGGTCTTTTTTTCATGCAGACGTTAGTCACCTACGAGCAATGGCTTTTCCATCAACAAATTGGCGGCTATGTGGAGTACTACGCCGGGAAGATTGTATACCTCACAATAAAGGTTGGTATACGGCGCATGTGACGAGTAAACTTATTTAGTATTTGCATTCGGGGTGAAATGAAATACATATTCGCATTCGGGGTGAAATGAAACACATATATTTTTTAATATTTATTCTCAGAAATTGGTCTAAAGTGTCACGTGTAAGGCAGGTAAATTCACTGTGTTTCATTCTGTGGCTCTGAGTGGGGACGGAATCCCGGACGAGATCGATTCCGCGCATTTTCGGTCAGGGGCAGTGTACTGTGACCTTGCTACCCTCAAAGCCGGGTAGACACGCCAGTTAACGACTAATACGATCATATTAAAGATTCAAATTTCTGCAAAATATCAAGAGCTAATTTAATGAGCGGCGCCACCTATCCATTTAAGAAGACGTTCGCCTCGTGGCAGGAAATTTATAACATAGTCTTCAAGTTTTGGATATTTCAATAACTCCTATTCATCAAAAAGCCTATGCAAGAAAACTACCAATGCCTTCTGTTTTAATCTAAAATATCAATATTTGTAAGCAGTGGAGGTGCATAAAAATAACATTCTTTTTATTCTTACAGGGCGCCGGACACAGAGTTTCAAGAGACAAACCACCCGTCTCACTCCAAATATTCGAGCGTTTTATTATAAATGCACCATTCTGAACTCGCCAACGCTAACTAGTTTCCTTGAATAAACGCATATCGTCACGGAAAACGTCATGTTGTTCCTCCGAAGGCAGCAGGAAAAGCAATCATTACAAATTTTTATAAGTACCCTCTCTGTTGATCTCTCGCATTGATATATAAAAATTTCTTTGACTTAGTGCATGCGCCGAGTTGTTGCGCTCATCGTCCGGTATTAAGCAACATGGTTCCATACACATTACAGAATAAGATACGGCTTTAGCATAGGACTGCGTGTGAATGTCGGTGTAGCTATAGCTAATGGGAATCTTCGAATTGATCAGAGCACTGAGCTCTGGCAAAGCAGCATTTCTGCTGACGAGTGTAAGAGGAGACGGAGAAGGAAAGGCAAGCATGCTTCCGTATTGTATAAGATCACGACACTCGGAATAATGGAACGTTGTATGCGAATAAAAAAAGTGATAATATGAGCGAAGACACCAGTTCTGCAAAAAGGCACTCAGCGAAGAAAGTGTTATGCAAATGAAAAGATCTGTTTATTTTAGACAACACAACGCCGAAACTTAAAATCGGTTTGTTAATTTGAACTCAATGCTGCTTACACATATGGGTACTATAACCTGCTCGGTGTAATAACTCTTAACTCTATACTTGCGTATTACGCACGCACTTAGCTCTTCCGTGGTTCATTAAGTGTGCCCTGTTTTGCGAGAGGGAAAAGTTCGGGAAGCACCTAAATACACGTAACAATTATTCTAAAATTAAACAGTAAAAAATAATTCTTGTACAGAATAACATTCCCGAACCAAGCAATCTAATGGTTCCTCGAATACGCAAAGCATACGACCACTGCATACGAACATCATAAGTCCCGTATGGTGTTCTGCAAAGGGAACAAGAGCACACGTAGAGGCTAGATTTTTACATACCCACAAATTAACAGAGGACAAGGTTTGCAGCTCTGCATGGTGTATAATCGACGAATGATCAGTGTTTACTGACGTATGATGAACGGAAATCATCCGTGAGGAAATACCACAATGTTACGAAGACTAATAGGTCATAGTACATAGCACTGAGGGCGACAATAACAAACACGCAAACGCTTATCAGCGCTTCGACCGTCGCGATGCCCTCGATACCCTGGAGCCCGCTGATGCCACGTCATCACGCCCCTGTGTGTGCGGTTCGAGCAGAAGATCCTCGAGGGTCCGGTCCTGGGTCTCCGGCATGAAGAAGGAGACGGAAAGGCCTCCAATGAACGTGAGCGCGCTGAAGAAGAGGCCGAATCCGGAGAGCTTCAGCGTGTTCTGCAGCTGCTCGAAGAACCAGGTGAGGAGGAAGGCGCAGATCCAGCTGAAGGCGGCCACGACGGCCGAGTAGACTCCGTTGCAGCGCATCGGCACTAGCTCGGCGCCCAGGAGCCACGGGATGGGGCCGAGCCCCACCGAGAAGCCGATGATGTAGAGCGCCACGAAGACGATGGGCAGCCGGCGCGTGTAGCAGGATGGGCGCGTTCGGGTCCGTCTCGTCCACCTGAATGCTGAGCTGGAACAGCGTGGCGATCAGGATCATGGCGAAGGCGCAGGTGTAGGCGGACACGGTCAGTAGACGCTTACGGCTGAACACGGTCATCAGCTTGACGCCGGCGGCGGTGGAAGCGACCTGTGCAGAGCGCGCGAAGACGTTGTAGCGCCAACTCGGCGAATGGCGAAACGAAGATCGAAAATGGCGAATGCGACTGTATTCCTACGCTTGGGTGTCTCACGGTGGCGCTAGCACGTTGACGTTCGGGTGCCTTGGTGTACTTCTCGGGCTTACTTTGCATTTATGCATCATAAAAAGTGCTAAGAAACAAACGAAGCGCATGAAGGGCGCGTTTCGGTGTTTCCTAACTAAGAGGTGACTGCGTTGCACTTGTTAAGAGGTGTGAACTGAGTTATCACCAGGTAGCCCAACTTTATGCGTTAAATAGTGAACAGTGTGTCTCGTCGCACAGCTTAGCGGAATGGTATGGCTTAGTTTGTCTATAGCATAGCATCCGTGATATAGGTGTTCAGACATAGCTATGATTTTTCTGCTGTAGTTAGGCAAAAATAAGTCACTTGAATTTGTGTCTCGTTCCGTTCAGTTGCTTACGTGCGTATGCATGAAGAACCTTTGAACGATTTGTATTGACCAAATTTTTTCACAAAAAAGCCACTGCCTAACATATATGGCCCCGCCTCCTGCATCATCAATTTGCTCTGTATAAACTTTTGCACGAGGTACCTGGCGAGCAGTTAACTTTTTCAGTGGTAAATTTTGCATTTTCGTGATGCTGTTCTGACACTGTAGAAGTTTTTTTCAAGCTACATGAGCGCTTATATTTCAATTGCAATTTTTTTCGCATCTTTGTCGCTGCGTATTACGTTGCAAAACAGGCTTTTGACCATATTTTGTGGCTTAACTTTGCATTTATTTAGCCTTGGGCACCGGGTGTACACAACGTACACTTTTCCACTGTTCTTTTTCCGCCTCATTGTTGGAGAAAATATGAAACGAAGTTCTAATGTTCATTTTTTATTCTGAGGCCTAGCCGTGCGTGACCGAAATGATACACAAGTCAGAGTTTTGTAGTGACGGCGAAAGAATGAATGCGATAGCAACTAATTGAAGCGGTATACGAAGTAAAGTTAACTGCACAAAACGCTGGCGCAAGGGAATACGGCCGCTCCAGGCAGCGAAACTGCTTTCGTGCTGTGTGTTGCTTCAGAGAGAAGTGGCGAGAACACAGGACGTATCTCAAGGGTGGACGAGCCGTCTACTGAGCTCTGTCGAGATAGCATGCGCGACATCGTCTTTTTGATCCAAACTCGCAATCTCTGCCCTAGGAACGTAGCCTCTCCAGCACCACTTCATGCTTCTTCATCACACGGAACCAACCTGCGCGTTTAATCTCTGCGTGAGCCACGTTTTCCCGAAGCTTTCGCAAGCTTTCTCTCGCGCATGAAACGCCTATGACGCGGGTGGTTACGTCATCGATTTGGAGTTTACAAGGAACATGACAGCGACGGCGAAAATGTACCCCGGAATTTCTTGTAACTGCAAACTCAATAAAAAAAATCGCACCAGAAAGCCGGAGAGGATGATGCTTGTGTCCTGGCCGCTGATGACGAGTCCGGCTTCGTCGAAGATGGACTGCGAAAAGAAGAGTACCGGGTTGATGCCCGAAAACTGCTGGATGAAGTGCACGAGCATGGCCATCAGGATGTGACCCGGAGGCGTGGGCACTGTGGCATACACCGTTTCCATGTCGGCCCACTCTCGGTCCAGCTGCACATGCAGCAGTTCATATTTGTATGCGGCAGCCTTTGTTACGTTTCAGTTCTTGTTGATGATTCGTCAGCGTTTTAAATGAGAAACATTTCCTTGGGAACTGCAAGCATTTTCGGCGTCTATCTGCGTAGCTAACTGTCTGTCTAGCCGCTTACATCTGGGTGCTTTCGTGATCACGCCCTTAACTTGACGTGGACCAAAATTAGTATGAGAGGCTATACGAGCCGGTTCGACGAATGTGGAGTGGTGGTCAAGACATGAATTATCTCACGTTCCAGTCGCGTGCGTCGTCAAACACTTCCCGTCAGACAGTGGCACATACCCGCGGAAGTGTATGTGGCACTGCTATGTGGGTGTGTGCCACAGGGAATTGACACTACCCATACACGACAAGAGCACACATGGGGAATTTGAATGTGCGACTGTTAAAGAAAACTCGACATCGGCAGCGTTTACCCGGCGAGTGCACAGAATAAATGTCAGGTTTCCAGCAGGAATCGAACCCAAACATTCTGCATGGCAATCAATCATTCTACCACAGAGCCAAGCGAAAGGTTTATTGCAGTTGCAGTGCTGACTATCCAATTTTATATGTATTACAAATTGTTACGCTTGAAGGAGACCGTCAAAGGTTGAAAGGGGCTGCTTATTATGTCGTGAGGGGTGGGCTCAGAAGCGGCCTACCAGTTAAAGGTCCTTCAGATTCTCTTCTTTCTTTCTAACTCGGAGCGAGAAGCATGCTCACCATAGTATTCGTTATCTTCATTCATGTTCGCAACAATATGTACTCCTGTATTACAGCCATCACGTTCGGCTAATGTCAACTGTAGTTACGTGCCATTAGCTGAAGTAGATTCATGTAGCAGTGTCACGGGCTACCACACTCGCGAGCACCAGCACGTCATATCAGCTTATCGCTTCTATATAGCGTTGCTAGTGCTCATGTTCATGTCCCCCCTGAAGGAGAACCCTTACGCGTGTCTATGCATACTGTATGTATACTGTACTTTGCAGATTTATTCTGTACTTTGCGACTGACTATAGGAACACATTGGCAACGATTGGAGTATCTGATACGGTTGCGAGATAAGCTTAAAACTTCAAGTTGGAAAGATGACATGAGTTGTTCAGTTAGATCAGACATCCATTGGTCTTGCAACGTTTACGATGTCCTTAGTGTCAGTGAAAGGCTAGTATAGTTTTTGAGTAAACTGCTGATCGTACTAGATTGTCTATCCTGCGTGAGATGGCTGTGCCAGCATGATCCTTTCCATGAGGCCGCCAACACCCAATCAACTAGTGCAAACCACCACTTTTTGAGAAGTGCTTGGCTGGGCGCGTTATTCATAGTGCGTAATAAAGATGGGTACAAAAGGACGAGGCACAAAAATAGGTCTGAACGAGTTCTCATTTGGTCGTCCTGTGTTCTTGCGTATTGTGCTCAAATCAATGCCCACGACTTTTCGCATAATATTTCCTAATTGTACAGGTCCTCCATCTTTGCTGTTCAACCAAAAATAAAAAAAATGAACGTCGTAAAGGGCAAATATTATATTGCTACACTTCGCTTTTTATGTATAGGTATACGCTGCTGCCATCCCAACTGGGCTTCCCAAACCTAGAAAAAAAAAAAGCAAGAAAGAATTGCCTCCACCCTGGTGCCATCGACGCATCAATTTTTCACAACGAAATCATGCGATGAGCAGGTGGGTTAAGTGCAAAAGGACACATGGTTTACAACAACTGTACAATTCAACACAGATGAAATGGCTCTTCTTCTCGGGTACAAAAAGTTGTTACAAATAATACAACAACAGAGGATTGGTATACAATGCTAATTAAAGTGGGACTCAAACAAACAAACAAACATGTTCATGTTGGCATTGTTACGCAAATGCGAAGGACTGGTTATATGAACATCTGCAACTATTCAACATATATCTGTGCGTTTAACATTTATACATATATTTAGCGTAATTTTATGACATGTCGCTCAATGGAAAAATCACAACATGGTAAGTTTCCCTCCGGATGCTTCGCATAACATCGATTCTCAAGCTATGTGGGATCTGCCAAGTTTTTCTAAACATAGCTCCTTGTATTTGGTGAACGAAATCATGCGCAAAAAGAAGACAAGAAAAGTATAGCTGAAAATAAAGTGCACAGCTACCAGCAGCTACGTCAGCTTCGACGAGTGGCGCCAGGATTTTATTTGAAAGGGGGGGGGGGAAGGGGCACCCATGACAAAGTAAGCCCCTTGACTAACCACGTCACGAAAAAAAATATTTGGCAGCGCCTCCGTTGTCCTGTCTCAAATATCCTTTTTGCTCTACGTGATCAGTTATGCATCACCAACATGCCCAACTTCATACTTTTGTGAGCTTCTTCGTGGACGCAAAAATGCTGGGATCAATGCATGCGCTCTTTTTTTTTACTGCGTTCCTTTTTGCAAGCTAAAAGAGCCCCCCCCCCCCCTCCCCCTTCAATGTTCCCCATGGGCGCAGCCTCGTATCGACGCATACCTGAACGTATTCTCACGGCACATGATTCGCAACAGATGTCAGAGAGCGTGATTGTCCCATATTGTGTATGGTGTTCCACTTCAAAGTTGTGTTCCGGACTAAAGAACACAAATTTGTAGTTCCCATCCCAACGCCGATACCATCCCAGGCGTGCTCACAGGGGAGTGACCGCCCCCTGGTCCACTAAGAAGGGAGGACACGCAAACTTTACCCCATACGTTATGTTGATAGGGAGGGGGCACTGCGAATAACTCACCCCCCTCCCCCCTGAAGGAGAAACCTTACGCGTGTCTATGCATACAGTATGTATACTGTACTTTGCAGATTTATTCTGTACTTTGCGACTGACTATAGGAACACATTGGCAACGATTGGAGTATCTGATACGGTTGCGAGATAAGCTTAAAACTTCAAGTTGGAAAGATGACACGAGTTGTTCAGTTAGATCAGACATCCATTGGTCTTGCAACGTTTACGATGTCCTTAGTGCCAGTGAAAGGCAAGTATAGTTTTTGAGTAAACTGCTGATCGTACTAGATTGTATATCCTGCGTGAGATGGCTGTGCCAGCATGATTCTTTCCATGAGGCCGCCAACACCCAATCAACTAGTGCAAACCACCACTTTTCGAGAAGTGCTTGGCTGGGCGCGTTATTCATAGTGCGTAATAAAGATGGGTACAAAAGAACGAGGCACAAGGTCTGAACGAGTGCTCATTTGGTGGTCCCGTGTTCTTGCGTATTGTGCTTTTGTGCTCAAATCAATGCCCAGAACTCTTCGCATAATATTTCCTAATTGTACAGGTCCTCCATTTTTGTTGTTCAACCAAAAAATAAAAAATGAACGTCGTAAAGGGCAAATATTATATTGCTACACTTCGCTTTTTATGTATAGTTATACGCTGCTACGATCCCAACTGGGCTTCCCAAACCTAGGAAACAAAAAGCAAGAAAGAATTGCCTCCACCCTGGTGCCATCGACGCATCGATTTTTCACAACTAAATCATGCGATGTTGGCACAGGTTGGCTTATTTTCGCGTACCTACGGCCTCTAACATCGGGTCAATTATTTAAGTCCGTTTAGTTTTGGTACGAAAAATCTTTGGTCCACATAACCTATATGTGCACGAAGGACAAAAAAAAAAAAAAACACTTGGTCAATCATTTTACAGGCAACAACAGTCACCAAGAGCGCCATGGACGTGTACATAATGTGAGGTGCTACAGACGTTGCGTATGGTGATATAGTAAAGTTGTTTTGCGCAAAAAAAAAACACAAAGTTGTAGCCTTGACCATTTGATGAACGAGTGATGGCTTCTGCTGCTCTATAATTCGCATAGGTTGCTTGCATTACTGTGCTGGCTTGAGATGTGCCACCATTGCACAATTTTTTAAAAGAAAGTGTGAAATCAGCGACTGTGTGAATAACAACAGCGGGTCCGAGACACCTTAACGCAAGGAATGGGGTTTGCCACCCTTACGATTTGATCACGCGCGTGTTAGTATGTGTGCATGTATACACAAGGAAAGTTTAAAATTTTCACAAGGTTTGAATCTTTCCTTCTTCCCCATTGGCTACCTCGGTGACGCAATCAGATTTGAACATCTTGAAAATATTGCGAAAAAAAAAGGACAAGAAGAAGAAAGTGTCGAAGGGCACACCACAGCACCCTTGTGTGCTCTTCAATGTACTACTAGTGGCGTGTTTCTTTTTTTTGTCACTGTTGTTTAGACGTTGAAAGAGCATTGTCAGTTCTTCGACAAACAGGTGCACAATGAAGCCAGTACGAGACGTGCACTTCCAGCTCTACACTGCGAACGCACTGAGCTGAAATACCTTGGCCGCTGGCCCACGCAGCTTGCCGAGCACTTCGATGGCTTCCGCCTTGCGGCCTTGCAGCATGAGCCACCGGGGCGACTCGACCGCGAACTGGCAGGCGGCGACGAGGGGGATGGCTGCGGCCATGGTCAGGAACGCGAGCCCGTCCCAGTTCAAGTAGCGACCCATCACGTTCGCGTACAGAATGCCAATAGTGAGGCACACCTGCAGGATGCCGCCCTGAGTGAGCAATAACCACCACATAAGTGCAAGCCAGCCTTTGCAATTCAATTAACCTTATTGAGCTTTGTAGTGGCTAAAAGAATTGTGTTTCAGCTAGCCAATCAGAACAAAAAAATTGTAAAGGGTAGCTTCCACTTATTGGACGACAGAGGCAAACTTTAGGGAATTTGTTGCTGGGCCAGTAGGTTAACATTTGTGAACTGCAGAGTGCAAATAACGCATGGAACAGAGTACACACACACCGCACTGCCTCAGCGAGAACTCACGATTGTGTTTATTGCATTCGGGCGACATGTATGGTTTACAATTTTGACGGACAGATCACTTGCTCTATATAAGTGGTACTACAATGTGTATATAAAAAAGATTGTAACGTGCACCTAAGTCTAAAGTACACGGCCTCAAGCATTCTCGCTTCCATCGAAAATGCCGCAGCCGGGATTCGATCCCGCGACCTGCGCGTCAGCAGTCCCGCACCGTAACCATGAGACTACGGGGGCTGGTTGAATACTCAGGTGAAGCCCTGGCACATCCAAATGAATTCTGAATAGTGCCTTAAACGTGTCGATAAATTATTGGGGCAAAAAAACCGGTATGAGGAAAACAAACAAAGACGACGCCACGCTGCGTGCTCTTCACGCTGGTTCACTCTTGCGCAGATTTGTACTCCCGGCGTAAACTTGCCGCGTATTGTACGGCTTGCATGCAGTAAAATGTTGAGAGTCCAAGTTTACAACGCTGTGCGTGCGTGCAGGCTCAAGAGATGCGTGCTGAAAATTTTCGAGGAGTGTTGTTGCGCAACAGCACATAGAGTACTTGTACGTGTCATAGTGAAACATTCAGCTCCTGCATCATCGTACTCATCGTATTCCAACTGACCTCACAATGACCGCATTCTTCTGATGATCAGGTGTTTATTTTCCGTTCTGACAGCATGATTTCCCGATCTGCTGGCCGATCAGTGGTTTTTCATCCGTATATATGGAGTTAGTGTGCCACTGCGCGATTTTTATAGCTTGCTCAGTAGATATTTGGTGCACCGCCAAACTGTAGCATTTTAACTAACTATACGTCAAAAAGGGTACGTCGCTGTATTGTATACGCTATCAGGCACGTAAAATTTGGAATACTAGTGCGCACACGTGCTAAGACTCTGCGTGCGCACACCGCACAATACATACGCCACATAGTCTGATAGCAACAACAAAGGTTTACTGCCTTGTCGTATTACCAACACGTTCTCTAAAAAAACGCTATCTCTAAAAACGCGATCTCTAAAACCTTGTGCATGTATTGTAAGGCGCGTCAGACTCAACAACTGCACTTGTGTTCTGAGGCACCACGACACTCTCTCTAGTGTTCCCGACATCTGTGTTCCCATTTAAACTAGCAATCCGAGAATAGCTAAAAATTCCTGTCAACACTCCTTCAACCATTTTTAACTTTCGATGTCAGCAAAAAGCAATGCGCTGACGTACCGCTGTCCCGCGCTGTTCTGGCAGCGTGATTTCGGCCAGAAAGGACGGCGAGCACAGGGAGACCATGCCAGTGGCGACGCCTGTCAGGAAGCGACCGAACAGCACCAGGTAGTCGGAGCGAGCCACCGACATGATGCCGTAGCCCGCAAAGTAGCCGAGCGCGCTGGCCAGAAGCGCGAAGCGGCGCCCCATAGACTGACCCACCAGTGCAGCGATGATGCAGCCTGTTATGGCGCCCACGTGCAGCAATGTCACGAACCTACGTCATAAACTTCACTGAGCATGCTGACACATGAGGCGCCAACGAGGCATCTAAGCGAACCACGCGATATGTCGTCAAAATGCAGGCAACTGCTCAAACAGTGGACGCTATTATACCAACCTTAAAAAGCGTCCCTGCGCAAAAAAAAAAATGAAATGGTAGCGTTCGTAAATGCGTTATGAGAATGCAAAAAGTTACTGCAGCTCGCACATGAAACCTCGAGCATGCATTTAGGCGTGCTCTTTGAGAGGCACAAGGTTGAACAATAGAGCGTCTGTTTAACGAATACACATAAAAAATACAGCAAGTTCCATAAAACTTATTTTGATTACAAAAATGTGAAGATATGGCTGCAACAAAAAGCAAATTTTGTATTTCTCTTTGCATTATCTAACACTGGATCACGGAAATCGACGGGAAAGTGAAAGGCTTCTAAGGGAGTAAGACAATGTTGAGTAATGACCTCACAAATTCAATAACTGTATGTATTAGGGCTTGCAAAGCGGTAAACATAGATTAGTGAAGTATTTTACAACCTGAACTTACCTTACAGTTCACGGGTAAGAAATCAGCAATGTCCTAGAAAGCAGTCAAGCAACTTCATGCAGGCTGTATAGATATTCAAACTTGTGTTATTCACATCCGTCAAATAACGTGCTGGAGGCCAACATGTATTTCGGACGAGAAGAGACCTCATAGTTATTTACGTGGAGACCCAAGAGAGCTTTCAGTACTGCTTTGTACACAACTGGCAAGGGGGAGAACAGAAGGCATTCTTGTTGAACCACAATGAAACTATAAGGTCATCTTAACGCCCTTAACCAACGGTAGCGACACCGAAGCTGACACTGATGCCGCATTTCCTGTGACACGAGGTCATCAGCGCTATCGCGTTGATGTATTACGGTGCATTTAAACAAACCAAACGAACTCAAGGATTCTAAGATCTCTCTTTTAGCGTTTGCGAGTCTGCCCAGTATACTGGTATCACAAAGACGTATCGTTATTTTAGGTAGCGTCTCCTGTAGGCGCTGTGACGTCAATTAGGACTTGCTTTGGAGGATAAAGAACAACTAAAAGATACGTAATCTATGTCTTCCGTGATTTTGGAACAACCCATCACCACATCCTCAGCTTACAGCACCGATTATTTGAGTACGACTTTCGAAAACGGTACGGAACCGACACGAACACATTTTGCTGTCAAGACTTAGGGACTTGATCTAAAACATATAAAACATCACTTTGGAGCTAACGAGCCCGCTCTTTAGTTCTACTGCCTTGCGCAGAGGTCCCCTCTCCAGCGTCTACGTCCTAGTTCATTCCTTCTACCGCTAGGGGAGCTAACAAGCCCGCTCTACAGTTCTACTGGCCTGCGCAGATGTCCCCTCTAAGCGCCTACGTTCTAGTCCATTCCTTCTGCCACCAGGGGATGGAACGTATGAGCGTTGTGGCACAGGTAAGCCCCTGTTTGCGCATGTCAGTTTTAGTGCTCGTGGGGATGTTTCTTCCAGCGCAGGACGTGTATATAATGTAGTTATACATGAATACGAAATGCCTCAAAGTGAAAGTTACGAGAAACGATATTGGATTTCCGTGCATTTGAGTGGGTGACTATAGGGACTTCATTCCTATAGCATGTCTTCGCAATACTAATGCCTGGATATGGCTGCTCACCAGACACCGTGCAGAGCAGTGTCAAACTTGTGACCGGTGGAGCCACCGGCGAGACTCGTGAGCGCTGCTGTGGTGTAGCCGATGGTGGTGCCCACGCAGAGTGAACCGGCCCAGGTACTGCCGAGCGTCATCAGCAGGGGCGCCGTCAACTCGACTTTGTTTCCCGTCGCCAAGTCGGTGAAGTGCCAGGGCATCTTTATCTCGCAGGCTGTGGTATCGTCGTCGAAACTCTCAGCGTAAAGCGCTGTGACTGGGAGCCCGTAATTGATTGATTGCGCCTTTTATCCTGGTGCAACCCACCATGGGGATCGGCTTCTTGCTCGAGGCGCTGTCTTCTTCTTCTTCTTCGTCTCCGCTTTTGATTGAGTGCTTGCCTAGCCCCTATGATATGGTCCTCACCCACTTCGGAGAATTGGCCATAAAACCGGCTAAAAGCTAAACATCAGACATGGGTGTAGCCCGGGAATGGCACACCGGGAACGTGCCCTCCCCTCCCCCGAAACGTTTTCCCCGTGTCATAGATAGCAAAATATGGTGATATTAAAATCAAGGCGGTGCTACCACCCACCCACGAAAAACATTTCTGACTACGAACCCGACTTGAGATGAAGAAAAAGAAAACTAACCAGAGGCCCCTATCTGATCCCCCACTGTGGGTTGGGTTGCACATGGTTACAAAAATCAATCAATCAATCAATCAATCAATCAATCAATCAATCAATCAATCAATCAATCAATCAATCAATCAATCAATATGTTCAGGTAAGTACAGACTGCCGTGTTAACGACCTTACAGTGTCCCGAGCAGCATATTGATAGGCTCGAAGAGAACAAGGTTACTAGTGATGATGTCTGTTAGGCCATCATGAGGATCATCATCATCATTACCCATCACTGCTCCACTTAAACTTGTCACGACCAGCGATTCTTTCAATTCGCGCAACCACATTTGGTTTTAGCCACAGGAGCGTTTTTAAAGCTGTTACTATTTTTTTTACGAGAGTCCTGAAGAATGTATTGTTAAACGTAGCTAAATTTGGTTGTTTTAGAAAGATATGGTTTTTTGTGTTTCATACGTTTTTTTTCTTCTCAAAGTCTTTTGTTGAATTCCTACAACTTTAAAATATTACCTCTAATACCTAATAATTTCAAATCTTTTCTTCAAGAAGTGAACCAGTTTATTAAGCAAGACACCATCCAATTCATAGCCTATCCTTCCGAGTGGGTTGCGACAAGCTGTTGAGGAAACAAAGAACCGACCAACTAGAAAGCTCCTCTCGGGGCAAGTTACGAATGCAGATACTTGTACATGTAATGAGTAGCTGTTGCGTTTGCCATGAAGCTGCCAAGCTAACGATTGATCTGCTAAAGCTACAGTCACTTGGTAGTGCGAGACTTAAAAAAAGAGTATAAGAAACGCCAGTGTGTGAAGATGAAACTATGGTCGATATGTTTCATGGCAGGAACGAGCCCGAGGAATTCACAAAAGCCGAGATTGAAGAAGATTTTAATGGTGATGACTAAGATGAGTAAGATGACTATGATGACTAAGCTTGCTCAGGAAAGGTGACTTCTCGTTAATGTTTGCTGTATCTCTCAATCACACTTTGGGCAGTTTAAGTCAAACGATTGGGCTGTTTCTGTGTCTAAATACGAAGTCGTAGTGATCTGCTACAATATTTTATACTTGGCTAGCATGTCGTAGCACTTGGTTAAACTTGAATATAACGTCGTAAAACCTAGACAAAGCATTTAGCAAAGGCTCGGAAGCAACCAATAAACAACTATCGTTACCTAGCTAATACCTAGAAACGTGCTAGAAGCAAAGACATTTGCCTTCAGAATCGTCCAGTTTTGATGTTTTAATGCCTGAGTGGCTCAGTCCTCAGTGCAAGCTTCGCCATTTTTTTACACCTGCTAACTGTAGCTCACACCAACTGCAGGTCTCCGACCAAGAGATGTAAGGTTTCATAAAAAAAATACCTATAAGTCTCAAGAATACGATCACTTATTTGACAGAACAACGGAAAAATATTTAAACATTTTGTTGAAGAGTATACTAAAATAAATTTAATTATTTCGCTATCCATCAATTCTTTCAGTTATGTATTCAAATATGTGTACGGTGCATACGCAGAAATTTACACTGCCCTCATTCTCTTCCCAATTGACTCTTTTAACGCAATAGCAATAAAAAGCTCATGCCACATAAATTCCGGCATTGGCATCGGTGCCAGTGTCGGCGTCGTTGGTTGTGAGTGACGAACCAGCATTTTCGGCCGGAAAACAGAGAATGATATAAATAAAAAAGTCACAGCTTTGCCGCATAGGCGATGGAATGAGTGAGATAGCAACAAATTGGAATGTTACACAAAGATTTGTAAGCAGATCGAAACGTACACCACGTTGCTCACGCACAAATTACGCACGAAACGTACTCAAAGGTTCAGATAAATGCGAATAAGTGTCTTTGTTGTTACTTCTATGTGTCTGAAAAGCGCGCCCTTTTCGCAAACGGACACTGTGCAGCGAGTGCAGTGACCTTTGTGCGCCCAGTAAGTACAACATAATCGTTCCGGTGAAAGCCCAAGGCGTACTATTCTCCCCCCAGCGACATAAGCGCGCGCACGCGTGAGTGTCTACCCCCTTCTCCTCCACGGGGTGCGTGAGATATGAACGCATCAGCGCTAGTCGCAACATCGTGACGATCTGGCGTCGCGCTCTCATTGTACGATCTCGCTGGTAGTGCTGAAAACGCGATGGTTCCCCGAGATTGCCCTCAGAAGCCCTAAGCTTGCCGTTTCAACGTTGAAAGATGTTCTCCTTCGTGTTTCAGTCGCTAACGGCACGCACCTGCAAGCAAGAGGTCGGACGTTCGATTCTGCGTGCCGGAGACCGTAATATTTAGCTGAGCTATTGGTAATAGTGCCTGCTTACCACAGGCAGTGTTCTTTCATCAAGCCTTGGGGCTGGTGTATGACCCCTTTCGGCTTATGGCATTTGTGTGCGAGGTGGCAGAAAATATTTGGTTCCTGTTTTTATTTGGCGATACACTGAGGTACAAAGCTCTAGAGACGCATGCATGTACAAATAGTGACGGAGTGTTGTTGACGTTTAGTTTTTGTTGTTGTTAAAGTACATCTCTCAATGCTTGCAATATTGAGTGTGCCTACTTTTTATTTCTTTACCACCATCTTCTTCTGCAGAACAAACTGTGGTTAGACGGGGCACTTCATATTATTTTCTTGTATTCTTTATTGGCCTTGTAGTCATTCGTTCTGTGTTTTGTTTTGATATATTCGCATTTCTGCCAAAAGACAAATACGTAAGAAGTAAACAACAGAAAGCTTTACACATGCGTTTGTGGTGCCCCTCACTACGTGGGGTAAAGGAGCTTATAGAACGAAAATAGAGCTGGACCCGCAAGAGCTCGGAGTATTAACACCAACGTTTGGCTGTACAGATAGCCTGAGACGCAGTGGCTAGTCTGTAGGTGTAACTGTCCTCCAGGGAATCACCTCTCGGTGTCACCCCGATCAGAATCAAAATACCTTTTTCTCTAATTTGTAGACATGTTACATAATAATAATACACAGAAGTCCTGAAGCGAAAGACTGCAACGGAAGCTCCTTTTCAACATAAGTGTTAAATACTATAGCTTTCAGCATGAAAAAAAAAACATACACACTTTGTAAAATGCGTAAATAGGTGTAGGGGAAGCACAACAGTAAAAAATTGACTAGAAAAAAAGCAAAAGCACACGAAGAAGCAAGAACAAGCTCATCTAATAATAATAAACAAGGAGCCAGGTTATGAAGGAACTTAAAAATGGGAGATTGATAGAATGTATTGTTTTTAAACGTTTTATATTTCACGAATTTCGGGTGTCTTGATTTTGATGGGCACGAAGTACCAAACAGTGATGGAAGAGAAAAATATGCTCTGATTGACATAATTAGTATTTATTTAGGGTACGACAAAGATGTTATTGCTTGCAAAGCTTCATGTAATGATATTCGTTACGTAACATTGGGGTATAATGCATTAATATTGTCCGAAGTTAATTTGTTTGAACAAAAATTTGGTAAGGGTATAGATAATGGGTTTCGAAAGGGACAAACAAAACACGTTATATTCTAAAAGATATGCGATATGTGTTTAAGTGCATATGAAACTATGTACAAACAACTAGCCCCTACTCAGTCCTTTCTTCTGATTAAGTGCACCAAACGTATTCTAATATTTTAGTTTTGCAGTAAAGTTATTATAAATGTAGATGTGTGGTGCTTTTCTTTCAACACTTGATGCGTAGTTAACGTGTCAATGTACAAACGAAAAAAGTGGCCCCGTATCTGCATGTAATCTGCAAATGTTGTCGAAAGACGATAGTGTTGCGTGTGGAAAGAGTAAACAAAACATTTATTTGATGCTCTGCGCATGAAAATCGGTGAATGGTATTCCGGAGGCGCTGCGTTAGAGTGCCTCGAGCGTGCAGCAAAGGCGAACGAGTGCATCAAGTCCCGTCACACGTGAGACATGAGCGCCATCTGGCAGTTTCTTTTGGAAAACAAAGCGCGTGACCATGCGCGCCCGTCTCAGAGGTGATAAGCTGTAGAACGCGAGGCGACGCATAGATGCCACCACCATCTCGTCTTAGCAAAGCGTTGAAAACACTCTCCGTTCCGTGCAAGCGTTGCATGGTAAGCGCAGCGTGATAAGAGCAACGGTCCTAAAATTACTTATGTATGCGTTTTCTAGTAAGAGATGCATATGCAGAATATATGCCCGTTGTTATGGTGCCCCAGACATGCGCAATAATTGTTTTTTAATTGAAAATTGAAGAAGCATGAACGCTCAACCTTGAGCATTATTGGTGGTCGCTGCGGATGGGGTCGGCTGTTTCAAGTACCCAATGCCGGTAAGAGGGGACAGACAGACAGACAGACAGACAGACAGACAGACAGACAGACAGACAGACAGACAGACAGACAGACAGACGAAAATTTTTGCGTCGAAGTTCCCCAAGAAAGACTATCGTCTTTAAAATATGTCGACTCGCTCCCTGGGTTTCGTGCCGACTGGTTTTGCTCCCGCTATCTCCGATGACAGTGCAGCTCTGACCGACTGGCTCGCCCTACGCTATCTCCTGCCGCCGACAAGAGCTCTCGCCGAGTGGTGGCCCGTCCTCGGACTC